TAGGGGTAATGACATATGTGAAACAAAAAAATATTTCGGATTATAAAGCAACAACGTGCAAAGGAAGTAATCAATTTTCCCCTTTGGAAAATTTTAAAATCTAGTCCAAAAGCACAGAGAAGTATTGGTTTGTATTATATTGTGTGAGTTTGATGATGATTAAGTCTTAACATTCTTAAGTAAAATATTTGGATTCAAAATACAATACCTAGTTGTTAGTTGAAAGTGTAATGCTTTTCAATTCTTAAATACACTTTGGCAATAGTTCAACATAGTTACAAATTCATCTAAAGAAGAGCACAATTTCCAAAAATCAGACACACTTAACAACACAACACAGCAGCAACGTAAGAACATGTTTTCCGAAAACATTTTTATATATATAATATACATATAAATAATCTTTATTTCCTACAGAAAAAGGCTATCGACCCAATCGCTCTTTCTGCCCGAAAATATTTTTTTTCTTCTGTTAAACAGTTTTATCATCTCACATTCTATACAGGAATTATACAACAGCTGCTAATGTAGCGCCTTCACAAAAATATTTATTGTCTAAATTAAAATATTTCAAAATCTGTAAATGCATTTCAAACTTTGTGCAAATTTACAGCTTTAGTTGAATGGCGTTTTAAGATTAAAATCTTTATAATCTTCATTCTCTATTTTACAGGTAAGAACTCTAAGGCTTTCTGCTGAAAGTTGGCGACTTTACATTTCGGCGATATTTGCGACAATTTACGTAAGTTTTTGATACAGAATAGTTTTTTCCTACCGTCGCTATCCCAATTCTCTTCAACTTTTATATATTTTTATTTTTTAAGTGTTTTCTTCCTTCGAAGACTTCATGACTTTATTCTTCTTCCGAAGATTATAGCACAGCTGCCGAAAGACGCGTCAAGTAAAAAATCAGGTTTCGACGTGGTTTTAAACTTTAAAGGTTATTTTATTGTAAAGTTTAATTAACGTTTATTTGCTCTCCAATAAAATGTAAATTTCTGTTTCACGATCGTTACAGAGAAAATACATATTGCGTTGAATACTGTAAAGATTACTGAATCACAATTCGAAAAAATTTTTACCCAATACTATTTATGATGTCTGTAATGTAAAGAACAATTATCAGGATTTTTTTATTTAACTAAATAATACCAATTTAAAAAAAGAGAAAGTATTAATTGTTGTATCTATTTTCCTTGTGTCTGATTTGTGGCCTGTAATGGTTTTGAAATGCGATCAAATAAATTTGTAATTTGTATAACAGCTTTTCTGCTTTGAAAATTGCTACTGCATCTGATCTGTTTATTTCTTGCTTTGGCCTCAGAATTATTAGTCGTATGTTTTTCAATTCTGGCGTAATCTGGTCGGACCGCCACTGCTCCAATGAAAACAACCTGAATATTTAGTTGAATTGCGGATCAAAATCTTCTTTTCAAAGTGGCTGTCTTCATTTCCGTAAAATATGTTTCAATTTTTGTTACGTAATAGATCATTCTCCTTTAGCGGAGGCCTCGGAGAGCGTTTCCACAAATTGTGTCGGTATTTTTCAAATAAAGTCGGCTTTTCGACACCTTCCCTGTGAGAGCTTTGGCTATGCATTGTAAATTTGGTAATTTATATTTTGAATCTGTGCAGGTTGGGTCTCGCCGCTCGCCCAAAAGTTGGTTTATCTATGGCGTGGCGGCTTTTCTTAAAGCCATTGTGTTTCAAAAAGAACTCAAACGGATTCCGCCTGTAAATTGTTCGAAATAAGAGACATCCTTAAAATTGCCACCACCTTGTCAGTTCAGTTTTGAACTGAACATATTCAGAATGTAAAACGGCAGAAAGCTGACCTGATTAGTCTTCTGTTTTTGATTCATTTCAAGACTTTCATTGAGTCAATTTCTGTTCAGACATATAAGAAAAGGAGGTGGTAAAGCATAGGATCAGGTATCGTAAAACTGAAAAATCGTAGTCGTGGGTGGATTGAGCAGGTAGAAGTTTCTACAACTGCAACTTTTTTCCTCTTGTCAAGTAAATTACATTTCAATTTCATAGGTGCTTCAATTTTACTTAATCAGGTGGATAGATGGTTGTATCTGTAAAAATCGTCAAAGTGTAGTAGCAAAAAAAATAACCAAATCCGACACTATAACTATTGACTATTCACTTATCTGTATATTTCAAATAACTGTGAATGTGAACAAGTTTGTAATTGAATTTTACTTTGCAATTGCATCGCTAATTGATCATTGAACGACTTATCATAGATTGATACAGTTATATCGAAACAACCTGTGAAAAGTTGACACCACTTATTCTGTAAATCCCCCTAATGATTCTGGCATATCCTAAATCCTGATATTCCCTTGAGCACAATAGGGTATAATCTCCGTAAAATTTTCACCATTGAGGTGTCTTTTTTGATGGGGATATCGGTTGTTAAGTTGAATGGCAGGTTCAGGTAAATTCGTTCTATTTCTATTGGAAATTGAACAGTTTCACATAAAGAACATTGTATAATTTCACGATTTTGGGCCTTTTGTGTTGTATTGTATCATAATAATTTATACAAATCGTGAGTTAATAGGAAATTGGAATAAACAATTTATAAAACATTAAAAGACTTAATTAAAGGACATTAATCACATACTTTACTATGAGTTTTGAAAGTTGATCTTTTGTAGTACATACCCTAAATTTGTGACGAAATATCCAAATAAATATTATATATGTACATTTTTTATTTATACATAAATATCATTCGCAGGAGTTTGGAAAACACGTCTTCAATATTTCTCAATTTGCGTCACATATGGGAAGTGATTTGGTTTACCGTTTCATGTAAATTTGTAGCAATTTATGAAAAAACAGATATACCTATGTATATAAAATATACGAATTACAAGTTCAAAATCTTAAGCATCTAATAATGTTTTTTATTAGAAGGGGGATTTTTTATTAGAGGAGTGAAACTCCTGATGATAGGTTTATCATAAATCATGATCTTGTAATTTTTTTTGAAAATGAAATACTGTTGATCGGACGGACGCCTTCAATTAACAGCAAATCTGCTGATTTTTAAGCGTTTATTTAGTATATTCCCACATCATTGATCTTTAACGACGTTTATATAACGATAAAAAAAGTGTTTACGTTTCTTGTACTTAAACTACAGGGATTTTTTTTTAATATCCAGTACTTATCCAGTTGTTATCTTGTATGCTGTAATGTTTTCAAAGCAAGTATAAGCTTTATGAGAACCAAATATCATCAATTCCCAGCCGTTGACATGGTATATCTTTTGTGGGCCGCATAACGCCAATGGTCTGGTTGCTTGCATTCTTCTTGTACTTTATTTCCTCTCACGACTTGGGAATAAATAAGACATTATCTTGGTTCGCGAGTGGTGTGCACGTAAGGTGTTTGCCCATTTTTATCCCGCTCATTTAAATACTGCGAAGTAAAGCTTTACATACGTTTTCTCGCTAAGAAGAATGGCATAGCCTGCTTTGGTCGTGACCAAACAGGCAGAACTTGCAGTCAAAGGTAAAGCACTATGTGGGTCGTTATAATTTTCCACTGAATAGGAGATAAAATTCAATGTGCTGCTTTGCCTGGATTTTTTTGGAACAAGTGAATACATTTAATTTAATTAGTTCCAACCCGTGCTTATGAAATTAGAAAAAATCGCTTGGCAAAATTGGTTTCAAATCTTAAACATAAAACTTGATCAGAACTCCAATCAAATCAAATTTTAGGTGGCGGTTTGTCATACATTTATTACTTTACGGCAAATGTTCAAGAATCTGCACATGGGAGAAGAACCACATTATTAATTCATTAAAAGACCTTTTTAGAAAACATATAAGGACTTATTTCTTCTATGTGTCATTTTCTTGCAACAGCGTTAGTTTCTTGACCGATATATGTATAAGCAATTGAAAGATGCTTTTTCTTTCTTAGGGATTCCGAATCCAATGTACAAACAATGCTTTTCAGAAATTTCAAAAAATTAATAAATTACTGTAAATTTCTATGTAAGATCTTTCAGATGATTATTTTCTTTCAGGCAATTTGCGTCTTTTTCTGTCCTTATTAAAGCTTCTTCGCACAACCTTTAACATTTCATGTCAAATGAGTATGAAAAAATGTTGATGTCTCTTTGCATCTGAGCAATAATTGATTATTAATTAGATTAAGAAACTAACAAAATAGTCAAATCTACTGAAAACTTTAATTCGATATTACTACTAATTACTACTAATAATAACATACTGCTACTAATAATAAGAATTTTCACTTTGCAATTTGTTTCTGAGACACCTTGATCCCACACGTTTTACTGAAGACGGTACACGCTTTGAGGCAACATACATAAACATAAATAACGAAAGCCAACAGTTTTTACATTAATGATAAATATATGAATAGATATAAATTACAGTTTGTGTCGTCATTTAAATATTTATTTTATACCACCAAAGTATTAAATTAAATATTTTTTTTTCAGGTAGACCTACTAACGTAGCTGCAGGCTTAGAAAATCCTTTGCGTCAATATTTACCTGCAATTGTAGAAGGTAGCCCGAATCGTGACAAACGGCTTCTAGTTTTGTTTGCTCATCTTAAAATAAACACTCTACTTACTTTACTAAACCAACAAAGCGGGGCTTGGGTTGTAAATTATCAACTCATTTATTGTTTGAGGATCGCGATACCTTATTCCTAATATTTTACTGCTCCATATCTTTATTTGTTTGTTTTGGCTTCTGTGTACAAACCTATCTTAAACAGGTGTTTCTAGTGCATTTTATTGCACTTTTAGGGGATGCTGAGTCCAGATTTAATAATAATAGTAAATATATTTTTTTGAAGTTTATTCGCGACGATTACTTTTCCCATCTAAACAGTATACTTTTTCTGCATTAAAACCGAAAATATATATCGACTTGATAACCTTGCTATTGAAATATGGTCGTGTAGTTTGGAAATAACAGTTTCAAATCAAATTAAAACTTCTGAACATAACATTTATTCAAACACATAAACTAACTTTACAATTATTGTCTACAGTTTTAATGGCAAATAAATTACATCGTATAAATAAAAACATTTTTTTACTAAAGCTTCTCCAAATCCTGAGGTTCAGCAAAATTATTCTAATGAAGCTCATACCATACTAAGTAGATATTTGCATTTTGGGTATCGATACTTTTACCACGTTTACAAAATGTCTTAAAAACATATAAATATGTTATTATTGTTATCACTTTATACTTACTCGTATGTATAACCCACACAAATCGTTTTTTCTAGTTATACATATTTCTTCTAGTCGTTGATCTATTTATTCTATTCTAGATGTTAATACATTGCAACTAACTATTAACGTTAAGGATACTGTTTCCAGCTAAATGTTATACAATGTTAATGATAACTGATGGTGTATAACTCACGACATGTTAATTTTGATATGAGTGAATAGCTGCTGTCGGTAAGATAGTAAGTCAGTAATACCTAATACTAATAATCTCGCTCGAATCGAAAATGAAATCCTACATATTGTTTACCAACTTAATGAAATATTTTATTAACATAATTATTTCTTTGGTGGTACCAAGTCGAATTTCCAAATTTTGTTTGGACCAATTTCTGCAACATACAATGTTTCGCCAGTAGCACTAATTGCAATATCATGCGGGTTGGAGAATCCCTAAAAAACATTTTGTTAAATATCTAGATTTTTAATGAAACGATTATAATAAATAAGAGGAAACCACCTTACACCAGAAAGATATATTTATACACTAAACGGAAAATTCAGACGGTTGATACAGGATGATCAACTTTCAATCTGCAAGACCTTAAGAGGCAATTCTACATTCAAAAATATAGCGAAAATGTTGAATACTCGAAAATGTCACTATGGTCCAAAAATGTTAACTATATTCTTAAAAGTGCGCTTCATCAACTACTTAGTATTTTTGTCTTTCCGAAAGTAAAACAATTGGAGCGAGCGGAATCCAAGCAACTTTTGCTCAAAATTTCAAAGTAATGGCTGATCAAAAAAGGCGGGCGATTTGAAGTTTTAGGGTTGAGTTTTTTTCACTGAAAAACTGTGTAGATTAGGAGAAAAAGTGTCCATTAAATGCGCAAAATTATCATTGCCTGGTATAAATATTTTTTTCAAAAAAAATGTTTGCACTAGATTATAATCTATATATTATTTCTCTCGTTTGCTAATGACCTTTGTTGAAATTCTGAATAAATGTTGGAGACGAATCTCGGACAATCTTCAACAACACTTGCCATTTTTTACGTTGACTAAATGAACATGTCGTCAAACAAGCGCAAGACGGTTTATTTATTGCAGCTTGTCAAGTTTTTTTTTATCGGACAACCAATCAGTGTTAAAATATGATATAACCGGACAGAGTACTCATACAGAAAATTGCAACAAGGGAACATGTCGGATCTCAAAGAAGCCGCAAAGTGCTCATATCTTGCAATTGCTAATTGGAATTGTTAAATATCACGGTTTGTCGTTAACGTTACAAAAACTTGTTTTTTTCTTTGCATTTATGGCGGTTAGTATTTCTTAATGTCTTTCGCTGCCTTGTTCTGAAGTAGAGGACATTTTTCTGTAGGTTCATTAGCATTTAAATAAGATCATTTCGATTCGGTTTTAATCCGATTTTGCGTTGGAATTCGTTAAACAGCATATATTTGTTATAGATTCAAGATATTTGAGTAACGATAGTTTAGCTATGGCATTTGATATGAATAATTATTTAGCTCCATTCCATTAAGTAATTGAAATGAAAAAAAAAATTGAAATGATCAAAATATTTTTAATTAAAACTAAGTATAGAAGATGAGCTTAATTTACTGTGGAGCAGATTTTAGACCTACCTTTTAATTATATTGATTTGTAATACTAAATATTTAATATTTTAGGTATATTGGCTAATAATATGATTTTTTAAAGCAGGGTGTTTCATAGGTACCTACTGGTATATCTTTGAATGCGTATTTCTGGGATCAAACGAATACGGTTTTGCTCAACTTACCTCAGAGGAAATGCCGGAACGGTAATACGGGAACAATTTTTTTTCTTCAAATTGTCTTTCAGATCACTCAGCAAGAACATTGGTTGTTTTTTATAAAAAATCGAAATTTGTTGGTTTTTAAGGGTCCCAAATTTGGTTAGCGATATATTTAATTTAGAGATTTTTTAGAGAAGAAAAACCTGCCTATTTATTGATGAATAATAGAGGATAATAATAATTTGACGAACAGTAACAATTTCATGAACACATTATAAATATAAACCCTTGAATACCGAAGTTAAGTAAAAGACTATTAGTCTGAATTGGAAAACTAACTTCGTTCGTGAGTTATTGAAAAATGGCCATTACAAAAATAACTTTGACCCTCTGTATTTCTGTTTCCGTTAACTTTTCCGTAGTCGGTTAAATGTAAGTCGTGTTAAATCGGATTATTTTTTACCGTTAGTTAAGTCAAACTAATTACTTTTAATGTGCTTCATTATTGGTTTTGTAATCCACTACATGTGTTAAACTTGATTGAAATTGCTTCGCCAGTTTGTATGTAAAAAATAAAAAGTTGGTAATTTTTTTTCAACACCTGTTTTTATTAAAATGAAATAAAGAACGAAGAATCAATATCGCCTGAAGTTCTGATCATAAAAACTGGATGTACACCTTTAGGAAAGCGCAAATCATTTTTTTGAAAAAAAATTTATAACAGATGAGGACCTGGTGGAAAATGTTGTTGAAGTTCCAACTTTAAGAAACAATTAAATTTAAATACGAAAACACGGGAAATGGTGACATGGAGATGCAGTTTTGAGGTTGAAATACCTCCTAGAGGAAAACGTTGAATGGTAGAGTTGTACACAAAAAAAATCTTGAGCTTTTGTATTTACCGCTTAAATGCAGAAAACCCGATTTTTCAATGGTTTTTTTTCGCTCATAAATGATTTAATTTATACGAGAAGTAATTCTTACCGCTTCTGGTGACCAATGGTCTATCACAGTTTCACTTTCAGGATCTATAGTTAATCCCTGGACAGGCAACATTTGGTTAGTGAATCCGTTCACTGCATAAATCAGTTTTCCTGAAAAAATAAAAACAAATTGAACTATAATGAAATTTTTAACAATAGTTGAATATTGATTCTTATTTATTTGAATTATTTTATTCGATTCTTATTCCCATTTTTGGACACAATATGGAATTAGATAATTATAGAAATTGTTGTTTTGGAATTCTAATTCATATCACTCAAGATTATTTTATCTAAAATTCATGGTTGTTACATAATGTTTAGAATCCATTTATTTATTTTATCTGGTAAACATTAGTCGTTATCAGAAAGCCTAATTAGGATGAATTGGAATTCAATTGTACACATGTCAAACATTGTGGCCTCCGTGGCGCAATTGGCTAGCGCGTTCGGCTGTTAACCGAAAGGTTGGTGGTTCGAGCCCACCCGGGGGCGCATTTTTTTTGTTTTTGAATTGGAAAATTCTTGTTATTTCTTTATTTCTGGTAAATGGTTTATTAATTATGTTGGGTTTAGTAGAAAAATATAGAGTTCGAAAGGGTAAAATTTTATCATTAAAAAAATGGGAAACAATTAATTATCTGTCTGCAGAATATTACGACCCTTTAAATAGTACACAGAATCCTTTTGTTTTTATAAACAGGTTGAGTTTTCTCATGCGCCATCACTGAATATATAGAAAATGGGTTAAAGGAGAGAAGTTTTAAGTTAAACAAGTTGAATTGATAGCCATACTTAGCTCATAAAACTAATGCCTACCAGTTATTTGCAAAGATCTAAGCAAAAAAAGCGACTAAACCGATTGTGATAGTGATTGATGATCGACGGGATTAGAAATTTACTTTTTTTTTTTACTTCCAAAGATGTAGATAATCATTTTGCAGCTGGGACTTTCTTATTAGCAATTTATGAAAATAATTATTCTGAAACTGAAAACAAAAAAAAAACTTCTAGAGCTGAAATTTGTATAACTTCACTTAGGTACATAATATGCATGCAAAATAATTTAATATAGTGAAGTCCTAATTGAATACATTTTCATAGATGATTCATTTATTTCAAGTTTTAATGTTATATTATACCTTTAGCAGCTACTGCGAACAGTCGACCCATATCCGGCTGCTGAATAGTCAGTTCTGATTCTTTTCTTCCTTTAACGCTATATAATCCTGCTCTGGGACATACCACCCTCATGTTTTCTCTATCTGCGATGCACAGCCGATCTGTAGATTCGATGAGAGCCAGAGAATGCGGAACTTGCAGCGAGAGGAATTCTAGATAAATTCAATATTTTAATGGGATTTTTCATATCATAAAATATATTTAATTTGTTCTGTTTTTAGAATTCTCGGTTAATCGAAAGTTGATAAATGTTATCACACATAGATCTTTTACGATCTGACAGGCGAAAATACTACGGCTTTGTATGATCCATAATTTACCTGAAGGACTGGGAATTACTCTAAGCAATCCTCCTGCTGCATTATATTTTAGGATTCTGCTGTTACAGTATCCATCAGCTATAAAAATCTCTCCTGTAGACGCCACTGCTATTGAGGTTGGTTTACACAAGTGCCCGTGATCAGATCCAGGTACAAAAAGCTCTCCAAAAACCAAAGTTGGTATGTTTTGACCTCGTTTAAACTAGAAGAAAGTAAACGATAACTAAAAATATATAATTCAAATGTTACATCGGGGTATGAAAATTGGTGGCTGTCCAAAAAATGAGCCTATTTTTTTGAAGCCAAAAGTAAGCTTTTTGACTTTGATGTTCTTAAAAACTTTTCATTCGTGCAAGAAACATCCTAAAATCAAAGATATTCAAACCTTAAAATTATTTAAAAAATTTAAGTTAAAATCTCAACTTTTCACGCATTGATATTCAAGCAATGAATAAAGTAAACTTTAAGTAAGCCATATAACTAGAAACGATTTTGATTGGTTTCCATAAACATATTGAGACATGTTATCGAATTGTAAATAGCAAGATCATTTTTTCTATTTATCAACGCCTGGGATATATTAAAAAAATGAAAAAGAAAATGTAAACCCTTTGCAAAAGATGTGCAGCAACCTAAAACTTCCTATTTGAATAAATTTGAAAAATGAATAAATCTTAAGTCTACAAGACTGCAATCATTTCTGGGTAGCTTCCGATGGACGATCCTGGGTAATAAATATTTGGTTAAAATAAGGAGATCACAAGCATGTTTATTCGAAACATTATATCAGGGCACTCTGCTTGTACGCAAATATTTATATGTTGCAAAGTCGGTAGACAGATTACATTTTATTGAGAGCTGCTTACCTTGAATGCCTGATGCATGCCAACATCAGTCAAAAAATAATTATCGTGCCGATCAATCGTTAGACCATGGGGCATATAAAATGCGTTTGCACCCCATTTTTCTAAAACTTTGCCATTACTTGGATCAAGGGTTAAAACTGTATGGTCAGCGATCGGTCCCAAGTTGGAGTGAAGATAATGGTGGCTCATGTTGAATGTACTGAAAAAACAATGAGACATAAAAATGACCACTCATTGCATTAATCATATTTCAATTTTCATTGGGCAAATTTTTGTTTGTCTAAAAAATCTAAATATATGTAAAGTAAGTGAATTTACAAGAAAATGGTTCATATAGTTCGTAAGAAGTGGACAATGAGGGAGGAAAGTTTACTCGTCACACAAAAAAACCCTAATTCTTTCTGATGCCCTGGTGGGAAACCAGCGAAACCGAATATTTCATTACGAATTTAAGAAGTTTATACTTTAAAATTTAAAATATTTTTTTGCTTTAGATCGGAACCTCCTAAAATTGTGGTGAAATAATGGTAAGTAAGAAAAATTGCATTTAAAATATTTTTTTATTCTAAAATTTTCAAATAGATTCTTAACTATACACAATTTTTATATTTAAAATCAACTCTAATTCGTAGCTTTAGAATAATACATACTTATTTAATTAACAAATCAAATCCTACTTTTGGAAGTAGACATAACTGAAAGCTGCAAGTTTTCACAATTACTGGAGATTTTGAAAATCTGCTTAAGAAAAATATTTTCTAATATTAAAGTTAGATATTTCAGAATAAACGGAACGGCCCAGTAAATTCTTATTGCAACTAGCTGCTAAGGGAAATATCTTAACTACTTCATTTTAAGGAATTTAGTGTTGACTATTTGCATTTTCACATCGATTAAATTAATATATTTCAGTTCTTTCCTGATATACGAGATAAGTGATAACTGGATATTAAGCCTGAACCTTTCAAGTTACGAAATTGATTATCATTCTATTATTGCACTTAAAAGTTATATTTTTCTCTACTTTGCTTCAAAATACTTGAATTGTAAAAAAGACGAATGAATTCTACAATTTTTACAAAACCTTTAATTTAGTACACATTTAGTAACATTGGTGTCAGATCATATGATCACATGAGATGTGGTCGTTACATAAAATTGTAAGGCCGAGGCTCGGTAACCTGCTGCTCAAGTTTTAATTTTTCTCTTTCCATCATGTAGTTAAAAGAGCCTGTTATGTGTAAAACGGTCATGAGGGCGTTAGATAAAAAGGTTACGTTACCACTACAAAGTTTCCCACATTATGTTTACGCAGCTTGGCTGTCAAAACCAAATCAGCTTGGGCATTCATAAACTTTTTTCTTTAGATTTATACTACCTATTTAGAATGAAGAGAGAAGGTTTTGATAAGCTTATTCTGCCGGCACCAGCATCCCTGTAAAGCGCAGTATTTGTATTTCTATATTACATGCAGGTACCATGCTATGCTAGTTAAAATTTCTTTAAGATTGTTTAGGTCAAGCAAATTTCATTAGAACGTTTGTTCCAGGTGCTCTGATAAAATTACTAATGAATGATAAGGCCTTTAAGCCATAGTCGTAATATTTTTTCAGTGAAATAAACATCGATTCAAAACGTTCGTTTCACAAGTAATTGCATCGGTTGCAAAAACTTGAGCTTTACAGGATTTTTCATGAACTTGCATATTTTGCCAAATCCTCCTTATTCACACTTGTTAAATATTGATTGTTACAAATTGAATTCATTTATGTCAACCGCAGTATTTTTTCTGAAATTGTTAGGAAAAATTGGTTTTACTTACTTTCGATCCCATTCTCGGTCAGCTCTATGAAAAATGACCGGTTGAAGAGCAGAATTAACTGATACAGCCGTTACTTGGCCTAGTTTCAAATCTTCGGCTGGCCAATTCTTTACGGCTTGTGGCACAGCAGGCTTTTCGACGATCGACTCTCCAGATTGACCGGTTCCCTAAAAAAATTAGGACTTATTATCACCAAATAATCTCAGCAAGCAAGCAAACACTTTATTATTGCACTAAGTTTGTAGATATTTATGATATAAATCGTCAAAATCAGGTACATACTTATATTACATAGGTACATATGTAATTTTTCTCATAGAATATCGCTGGAAGGAATTACCTATTAAAGTCGTAATTTATTTAAATAAAACTGCATCGATTCTAGAGTACAACTGATTACATCTATAATTTTCATAGCCCGTGTGACCTTCGCTGTCATATTGTTCTTTACTTCCAATTCGCAAAATCCCATTAATGCCAGCCTTCATGAAGCTTTAATGATTTCAGTTAGACATATTGCTCAATTAACCAAATAAAATCAGCATTTCAGAGTGGATGGCAAACACAAATTATGGCGAGAGTTGTCGATGTGCTAGTAAATAAAATAGCACTACGAGTGTGAATATTAAATTTTATGGCGGGTTTGTGTTATTTCTATTTAAACGACAAACGACTCTTTACGATACCGAATGTACCTAGGAAATTGTGAACGTATTGGCTAAACGATAACAAAAATGTAGTTATTAGTTATTACCAATCAGCTGCTGCAAAATGCTGATGCAAAATTTCAGAATTTTATGTATACTTTTCTGAGTATACACCCATATATAAAATTACTGAGTCACATACATGTATAATACTATGCGAAAATAATGCTGACAATTAAATACATAGTCAAATACACATTCGGAATCCTAACTCAATAGTCTATACTGAAATATGACAAATCACACTGGAATAATCCACGTAGTACCACGTGAAATTATCGACGAAATTCTAATTAAAATCACTTTTTGTAAATACCCGCTAATTTATTTGCGTGATTTTAATTCGACGCTAAGTTCAAGTTTAAATAACAAGTCGACACTAATTTGTCTAATATTGTTTCAATCTGTAAATATGCTGGATGAGTCCGGTGAATCCTAAAGGTCATAAGGTTACTGCGTCCACAATTGCTTAAGGCAAAAGTGCATTGAGAATTTGCACTTGCATAGAGTAACCGAAAAAATTATATAATTTTAAATCATTTCAAAATTTAGCATCGAAGAATATTTTATACTTAGGTGATTCTTGTTTTAAATTTATAGTTTTTTGGCACACAATCTGCAAAATAATACAAATGCTAGTCACAGAGGAAAGGACTAACAATATGTTTTGTTTTAGCACTAACAAACTTTTGTTATGAAAGAATCTTGTGTTGAATTGTGTGGATGTGGTGTGAGTTAATAAAAATTAACGGCTCAACATCGATAACTATGAATGCAGTCGTAGTCGTAGTAGTGGAAATTTCGAAGGATCAGTATTTTGCACAAACCCTATTATTGCATTCTCTCTCTGTATTGCATAGTTGATTCGAAATATTTTCAAAAGCTTTTGGTGTGCTTAGTTTGCCCTCTTTTAGCAACTTGTTTTAGCTATAGAAGTATGAAAATGATACGAATTCTAATTCTCAAAAATACAGATTTTGTGAGAAAACCCTCCCAAAATGCCTATATGTCGTCCACCAATAAATTCAGTAACTATAATCACGTTGTCAATCAATCATTATTTACATACTTTAATCTTTATTAGTCTACACGGTCTTGAGAAATATATGTTCAGACACACTTTTCCTTGACAACAAAACGGTCAAGTTTCCGCACAATGGCAATATAATATTAATTTCTTGATAAAATATCAATGCAATCATGTGGCGAAGTGGGAAACTATATTATTTAAAAACTATAAGTACCAAGTTATACTCTTTTCCTACTTACCCAGTCTGTAGCCGATAAAACAATTATCAACAAAATGAAGAATGATAAAGTGCAGGAGGCAATGACATATTCCCGTTTCATATTATTAATAGTATTGTTTTACGCGGAATTTTTGTTTTTCATTGTATGCCGCGGTCTTATTTTTCTGCTCGCAACAGTTACTTTCCGGTTCGCAGCCGCAAAAATTTATGAAAGTTAAACCAAATCCGGCAAGTACTTTACTCGAGCAAGTTTTGCAGGAGAATGGTTGGTTTGCTTGGGTTCACTAATTGCAATGTACACTTTCGCGTTATGAGTAAAGCGGTACTATTTTGTCTTTGTTCGGATACTTGAACCAGAAAGAGAAAAGCAATGCTGTATCAATATTTAGTAATAATAAATTTGTGCGAGAAATAGCTTCAATGGCATGATACAGGGTGTCCATAAAGTCCCACATTTACTCCATTAAAAAGAGCTTTCCATATTGCAAAATTTTCCGAGCAAAAAAATTTTGCAAAAAGAACTTCGAATTAGAACGGTTTGCTTTTCAAAAGTGTATCGGAAGTAGTATTTTGAGGCCTTCTTCTAAAAATGCTATTGGCTAATTGAAAGTCGATGGTAACTTGGAAAGACCGCACTCAATCCAATTAAAAATTTAGATTATTGTTCAATGCTTACTGCCACAAATGTGCCAAGCACCAAGTGCCACAGCGGATTCGCTAAACCATCGTCACATCACAGTTTATCGCGTAGAAAAAAATCAATTCAACATTAACATTTTTAATTCTATAGAAATTCCGATTGCTGGGTCCACTGTGAATGCTTTTATGAAATATGTTATATTATGCACGTCCCCTAGTACAATCAGGTCCATCAAAGATTCTAAGTAGCTTACCAAATGGCTTAAAATGAAACAGCACCAATCAGTCCCTTATCGAGTTCCTGAATATACAGACTTACGATTTGCTGATCAAAATGTATTAATTTTCTATCATTTTCTTTATTTATATATTAGCACTTTAACTTTCAAGATGTTCAAGGTGAATATTTCTAGGCTTCTTAGCTGACTGGTCTTTGCCACTATTTAGCAATTTTTGACAGATTTTGTGAGGAAGAGACTTATTATATCATGAGGTCCTTGCAGAGCTAATTAGTATTTGTCTATGTATACTGTATAAGTGTAAAACACTCGAACGTAATTAATGTTCAGGCTCTCCCGTAAGCACACGATCAAAAGGGCACTGCGACATTCTTTCGCTCAAAAGAAGTCGATCTGACCTAAGTTTCATTAAGACAAAACATCTGGCTGCTCTGCTATTGATCGTCAATATTTTTCAAGAGATGATATTTGAAATGATATTGAGGCTTAAAAATCTCACGATATCAATAACCAGAATTAATATTTGCTGTTTAGCTTATAACGCCCCAATTTTTACAAAACGCAAATAGTTTTATCTAGAAATTAATTTGAAGAAATACATTCCTCACTTGCAATTATATATTAAAAATAATACAATAATTACAATTAATAAATTTTAATGCGTGTTATTCTTATTCAGTCATATTGTAAACTTTTAAAACTGCTGTAAGAAGGCATCGTTGTACCCATTAGAAAAACCTCAAATATTTCGAGATTCATTTGACTAGAACAGAAATTCCAGTTTTTACAAAATTATACTAGCCTGACCTAAGTTGCCTCAAAGGCTTAGTATTTGCTGAATAATTTACTGAATTAATTTTTTTAAATGAAAATGTATGCTATTTTATATAAAACTATAAATTACTCAATAATGTTTCGTTGCAGGACTTTATCGTGCCATTTCAATTTTGCAAACTTTGCAGTTACAACATGAACTACATAAGCATTGGTAGGTGCTTCCGACATTTAATAATCTGGAGGCGAATTTTAATTTTGGATAAATTCCCTATGTTAGGGCAGAAAGACCGATTGGGTCGATAGCCTTTTTCTATAGGAAATAAAGATTATTTATATATATATATCCCAATGTTAAACGCTCGGAAGGAAGGTAGAATAAAGTTTTAAACACTGTCTTCTATCGGGTACAATTCTGCTGAATGTGTTACCTCTCGAGTTGGCCTGGATATTTCCAGCAGCTGGTCTACTTCACTCCGGGTGAATAGTGGCTCGCGATGGAATTGATGGAATCCCAAGTCCGGATATGCTATACAGATGCCTGTTAATAGCATAAAAATTGCGGTACAAAATACTAGATCAGTCCTGAGAGCCATGACCAAACTATGTTTCACTGTTTCACTTCACACTTTGAAATCGATAAGAAGAATCAGGATTTTGTAGCGCGCATGGAGGCACGATGCCGGTTGTCCTTGGACGCCAGTGGTTGGTTTTGCTTTTTATTTCGGTGTCTTCAAAACGATCCATATAGAAATTAATTAAGCTGGATTTTATCAGCAAATGTTGAAATTTAATTATCTGGCATTAATTTATTTGACTATATATTTTTAGAGTTTCAAGTTAATAACAAAGATAATATAAACCCGGAGAAAACTATCGGCTTTCCAATAACGTGATGATGAAGCTTGCTACAGCTACGACGTGGTTAGACTGCTGATGAGAAAATTTATCAAACAAAAGGTTGATAAACGCATCAATTTGATTGCAAGCGAAGGACTGACGCGAATCATAACTCAACTCAAAATTTTCTATACTTAAATAAAGCTTTTCTACAATTGTCATCATTTACATCTTCATATCAGATATTATCAATGTTMCGTTGATTWGGTCATATYCAAGGGATAATAYTTTTTWGTTAAGGAAACAGCASTTGACTATAAACCATCGTATTATGYTGAARTAAAACTTAAAAAGACAAGAGTCAGCAAAAAAATCAGTCAATGTTCAATTGAGCAATGAAATTTTGCAATACCAACCACGATTAACAGCTCAAAGCTTGATTACTTAGAATGGTTAAACGTGTGACAACTAGGTTGAAACGGTTTGTCTATAAACTGAAATAATATGGCCATTACACATATTGCATCTTTATTAATTTTAGCTGACTTTCTCATAAGAAACATACAAATCAATTTCACCGTTTTTGGCTGGTTTTCAATCATCCATAACTGAAAATTTGCAATTGAAAGTCAGTGATTGAACGAATGGAAGACCATTTTTCATAACATTTTTGTATGATTATTAGATTCATATTGAATTTCACAATGAAAAATACTTGGCGATTTTTGGCAAAGTTATACTCTATTACTGCCTTATGGCTCTGATTTAAGAAAGCTTATATTCAAAAACATTTCAGTAATCAGAATGATGACTTTCCAAATATTTGTAAATTTTTTACCTGTACTTATATTGATTTTACTTGCTTTAAGCCATTTGATTATCAAGCGATAGGAGTGTGCAAAAAGCGATTTAGAGAATTATTTGCTAATAGATCAGCTGTAAAGACGTAAAACTGCTTAAATGGATGTTTCTCCACTCCTTTAAGAATTATAGCAATTTTTAATCCCATATTTCCCCATACATAACTCCGTATAAAGCGTGATACCCTGGTGGTTAGTACCTCTTCAAGCACGATAGAAGCTGTTTTTTTTCGAGCTCCAAGAAGCAGCCGAATAAAAATGTAATCAGCAAAGTGTTTAAGCAAATTAGATAACCAGATTTGCATATATACCGTATTCGTCAGATTTTAAATGTGCGTTTATTTTATTGCAGAATTAAGTTTCGTCACCTAGATGATGTAGTAGGTTCAATCTAAATAAAAAATAATTATAGTTTCGTCACAATTCGCATTATAAATGATGGATATCCATTGTAATATCACTGATCTTATCATTTAATAAACTCGACGAGTAATTACCCGAAACACTCTGGGCACATTTATTGACTGATAACAGTTAACTCACTCGATCGTAAACCAACAATAGTATCTCATTTATGTTATATGTTCATCTCATAACAGATGAAAGGGCCTTTGAAACAAAGCATTGAACATAGGCATTTCTGAACAATTATGCAACAACATGTTACTTTGTTAATTTCCAGATCAGCAAATCATATCTTCTATGTATCAAGGAAAAAATAATTATAATATTTTTTTGATTTATTTCTTCATGTTACTACATAGGTATAGTTTCCATCTAATGTTGAATTAGTCATAAAAAATATATTGCACAATCCTGATAGTCCTGAAAAGTCTGAGAGTCAAAACGATTAATAAAACACAATCGACCAGTTTAAATAATATGTTCAAGGGACCGAGAGGTCAATAGAAAAGCGGTTACAACTTATCAACAAGCTATTCATCGATAGTTTACATAAAGCTGAGCAATATGTAAACTGGTTGTAATTTTTGCCACACGTTCCCATCTTGATTGCCATAAGGTTTAACAATTATTATCTCGTTCAAACTTGGATTATGTAACAATTTTGTATACAGGATTTTCGAAAAATGAGTTAGGAAATGTTTAAGGGTAACTATTTTAGGACAAATAATGGCAGTAAGTCATGTAAAAAAAATCGAAATCTGAATATTTTTCGAGCTACACCTCATCAAACTATTATTCTAAAAATGAAAAGCGCTTCAACATGAAGCTAAGTATTAGGAACTTCTTTAAACTTTCTAGAGAAATTATAAATGTGAATTTAAAGCCAGAACTCTTGTCAACAAATACTTCCATTGAACAATTTAGATCATTAATATTTCACGTCTTGAAATCTGCATATTTTTCCAAGTCTTTTTGATTCAATTTATAAATTAAATTTGTTTCGTCCGATGTCCGTATTTTATTGAGAATGCTCAATATAGTTTTGCGTAGCCATATAATGTCCTTAATACCAAAAAAATCGGTTTTTTGAGCAAAGTTAAAAAGCTACAAATAATCACTTTTCCGTATACACATTTAGAGACTATAACTACCACTATCACAACCACCCACATCCATTCATTATATACGGTAGACTTATTTTGACCACATCATATTTTTCCTCAGTGTTTCAACATCTCAGTTATTATTACCCTTACATTTTTATGGCTCACTACTTCTAACAGTTTAAGAGGCGAAATTTTTTGAGAGAAATGGCTGGAGAGACTTTTACTAAACAAGTTTTAATGATATAACAAATTGAAAAGAAACCTTATAAAGTTCAAACTGCTTCTTTTAACTGAACCGAATTCGATCTTTTTGCAAGGTTCACAAATATTTCATTTATCCCGTATACTTCCTTTTAATATCCAAATCGTAATTCATCTGAATAATCCAATAGCCAAAAATATTCTTGACGTTGATTAAAATGCAAACTACAAGTGTAAATTTAACCTACTTCATTTTGAAAATATCATTAGTTTTTGAACAGTTTCTCTTGGACACGGTTGACATAAAATTATTTTCTTCAAATTATTCTTATTTCCGGTCGGAAAATGTGTAAATCAGTGAACAATCATTATGGAGCGCAATGTGGTTGTGTCAAGCACACTAAAGAATAAAATTATATTTTTTATATTTATTTTTTTAATTTTCAACGAAAAACTTCAATCTGCATTCGCATATATAATCCTTTAATTTCAAGTTCTTCCACAATGCCCCAATCATGGTAAGTATAGTTGTTATTTTATCTATGTCGATAATTTAGAGAACTTCTTTTTTTGAAGTTTAATTTCAATAATTTCAACTGTTAATATTATTTTCACCCAGTTGATTTTCAATAAAAAACAAATTTACACATATTTTTTGCTCTTCTCAAATGGAACTGAACCTGTTAGTTCCAGTCCATTATTTTTTATTTAATTTGATTTTAATTTAATATGCAGATTCTCCACTCACCTTTTTAAAATACATGTTTTAAGGTGTTTTTTTTGTACGCTAAATTCAGCTGACTTGAAATAACAGGTTTACAAATTCACATAGGAAAATTGACAAACAATGGAATTAAAAAAAAAACGTTTGTGACAGACAAGCAACATTCAACATGTTTAAAGGTTGTTGTGAAAAATCTTTTACGTACATCTGATACAACATTTATTATATTTGTTATTCGTTCATCTGGCAATAGAGGTAGATATTTCTTCCATCGACCATATTATTACAACGTTGGCCGATGGTTGAAGTATAGCGACACTACAACATCTGATTAATCTTTATCAACATACTACTTATAAAAGAACACATGCTTGACAAAGAAAACGACGACGAAAGACACTAAAAATATCTCAATCATTTTAGTGGCAGATTCTATCCTAAAAGAGCGAGTGTCTTCAGCAGTGAACTGTTTCGTGGTCAGCTTCTTGGCTCTACTTTTCCCTTAATCCAGGCTGATACCAAATATATCCTGTTTTTGCCATAGAACAGAAAGCGTTATAATAACGACCGGGCGCTCGGCAAAATGACCACTCTGGACACTTGCAACGGAAAAGATTCTGGAACTCCTCTTTACATATCTCGTTCCACCAACAAGTTCTCTAAAATCAACACAATCTTTCCTTACCCTATTGAACTAATTCGTTAGATAGTTCAACTTAAGTTAATGCTTGAGAACTTATTCTCTTTTATCTCTTAAGATAAAAGATACGAGTTTCATTAACAATCTATGTTACTAGAAATAAAACAATTATAACCGAACATTGTAACATTAAAATGCATACAATGCACGGTTTTGCTAGAAATTACTGAAATGTTAAAACCCTAACGCTTTTCAAAATATTTAAATGCAAATTTCAATTTTTTTTCATAATTATTATCCTTTATTTTTATAACAAGAAGTTTCCGAAGATGTAAGGAATGAAGTGTGGGTAGATAAAATATAATTTTATTTAGAAACAAATCGTTAGCCAGAAGGTTTTGGATAAGTTAGATAAAATCCCAACTAGATAAACACAATTTTTTCATTATATCCTCTCCCGATTTTTCATCGGAAATCTCATCAGGTTCATCAAAACGTTTTTCATTTTTGAAGAAGATCTATTAAATTTAAATTTAAGCAATATCAAAGTGTCTAATTTTTAGCACATAGTGAGTTACACTGTGCTACAAAATGTGCTTCATTCGTGCTTAATAAGCATGTCAAAAACACATACTTCCTGTAAGTTAAAATTACTTCAAAGTTCAAGATTAACATTCTTCAGAATTCTGCAGTTTTCTACTTCGTTTACAATATTAAATATTATAAGTATTTCACAAAGTGTTTAATAATTTGACGCAAGCTTGATGAAAAGCTGAAAATGTTGATACAATAGCAATTAAATAAATCTGAACATTTATTTCTTAAACTGTATTTAAAATACTTCCAAAAGCTATCCAAGGAATGAACGCTTCTAGCATTTTTCGTTTAATCTGATTTGTCCTTATAGTATTATTATTATGACTTGACTTTAAATATTTTGTCTCAATACATTTTTAGCAGAATATATTATTGTGACATTTATTTCATTATTTTTATTAAATAATGAAAATTAAATAGGCTCGTTAAGTTATCCTGACTAGTATAAAAAATCTCAGTGTTTACGGCATCTGTTGCGACAAAAAATTAACGATTTGACATGTATGTGTACCTAATATAGAACATTGCTAGTTTTTCCGACTAACTAATCGGATTTTGTTTACATAATATCAACTAAACGGTAGTAATTATAACTTTAGCAATTATTGCGTTTAAACAATATATCTTTTATATCATTTTATTTTAAGGAAAAATTGAGGAGGTTGGAATTATTTCAAAGTATATGTTTTGCCTTAATATTGCCATAAGTTAATACTTATGGCAAAATATTATTTTGCTGGCTGCTTCAACAATCTATTTGCGGATTAAATAGTCATACTTTGTTAAAGTGAAGTGGTTTGATCATAGTTTGATTTGCTCTAATTTTAAAGTTGTTCTGGAATATTTTCATAACGTTCTAGAACAATTGAGCTTATTGCTACTTGCTTCAAAAACAACAACTTAGCAAGGATAATATTTCCAAAAAAATTTCAGAATAAGCATCAAGGAAATTATCCCAGCGCTAGAAAGCCATAACGAAATCGAGCATACAAAAACATTATTGAATACAAACGAAAGCATGCTACTGAGAAAGTTAAAACGTTAAATAAATAACGTTAAATATATTGGTCTATTAATCATACAACTATTCGGGAGGTTTGCTCCTCCATTTAGCTACTAACCTCCGTCAAATATCCATCAACCGAGGTATCAGTGCCCCTTTTTTGATAGTTTTTCGAATCCACTACTTGGGACAGCCAAACTCCATGAATCAAACAGAGCTAAATATTAAAACAGATATTTCAGTTACACAAGCTTAATAAAAGCTTGCTATGGACACACCTGTAGGATGATTTTCAACACCATCCTTTCCTCCCTTTTAGGAGGAGTACAATGACGTAAGAGAATTTTCTTGCTTTGCTCATGAAATCGATAATAACTGGGACGCTCATTGATAAAAAACTAGTGTTTTCAAAAATTCGGGCATCTGATAATGGTAAAACTGAACGTTTTGCCACTGGAGTAGCCCGAGGAATATAAGACCAATTACTTGTCCTATTGTATATCATATCTTACTGATTTGTTTGTTTGGATTAACATCCAAACATGGAAGAGTAAATGGAAGAAAATGTAATTAAAATATAGATAGATATTCTGAATGAGCACTTGTGATGTAACGGTGATGTAGTTGTATGTTTAAACGGCTATATTTAAATTGCATTGCTTAAACTGAACTTACAATTTAATAACCATGTTTATAATTTGGCAATCAATGCGAGCGTTTATTTTAAAGTTAACATCGCTTTCAAACTATTCAAAATATTGACATAGGCAAGTGCAGATTTCGAAATGCGCCAACCTCAGGCACCCCCAGGACCGGTTTCGAGCCTAATACCTCTCATCAGCTGGGTTCAGTCTGAAATTAGCAATCCCGACTGGTTAAACAAGTTGAGTTTAAAAATGCAGATAGTAATTAAATGTAAGCTTTTCGCTTTCATTGATATTTTGCAGTAAATTATAATTTTCTCTATTAGACGAAATATTTTTGCATGCGGTTTATTGGGGGTCTACGGTTTTTGAACGCAGATGACGGTTTTGTCTAAAAACAATTTCTTCATTATTACAGACTGTCCCGAAATTAGATACGAAAATTCAAAATATAATTTAGATAATAGTTATATGGTATCATTCCCACAATTTATCGATTTTCTTTCCTGGCAATTGGGCTTACCACGCATCTGCAAGTTTTATTAGATACAGTGTCATATTATACTTTGCTTCATTTTAACAAATACAAGTGAAGGAATATGGCCGGATTTAAAACGCGTTGTTAACATATTCTCCACTAACTGATGGTATGAGAAGCAATTACAAGAACTTGCACCTGCTTGCACTGTGGTGATTTTTGTTCTTTTTGTTCTCTTCCGTTATATTTCTTGATTGCCCCTGACTATTCAAGACGATCGATTGTGGAAAAACATTTTTGATGAACTAAAAGCCTGTCCACCTAATACGTTTTTAGTGGTATTTGTAATACAGAATCACAAATACTAGACAATCCAATATACTTGGGTGCCATCCATCCATGTCCTAATTTAAAAATATTAGATCATTTATAAATAAATGATAGAAAATAGCCGCTTCTGCTAATAATCTACTGTTAATTACAGTACTACAAACACATAAGTAAAGTACCTAATAAAAATGCGTAATTGCAGTATGCCCTACCAATATTAAAATGAAATATTCAATGTTATACAAAAATTTAAATGATATAAAAGTTGAAATTATACATGCTCTTGATTAGCATATGAACTTTTAATATTTGACGAAATTGGCGGTATCATGATGAATTGAAAATGTTTATCATTCTCCTAAGTATGGTGATTGTTAGACCGACAATATAATTCATTGTCTGGATAGTTTGGTGATTATTCTGTTAATGAAATAATTTCGTTGATCTTAATGCATAAAATGTATCAGTTTTTCTCAATTCAAGTGCTACCTTAATGCAAAGAAATAAACAGGATCATTACCACTAAGCACGTATACTTTTTCCTGTTATAACAGGTTTTAATTACTAGCAGTTCTTCTCTATACTTTTGCTTTATGTTGCGTATAGAGTTGCCTGATATATGGTTCTTAAACTGCTTGCTCCTCCAATACAGTATACATTACGATATCATCACAAAAATATTCTGAATATACATATTATCTTCAGTAAAGCAAAACGAACTTCAATTCTAGAATCTAGCCAATGGTGAATGATTTCATAAATACATTTAATTATACCGTATTTTATATTTTACGCTAATTACGATACTGAGAACAGAAATAGTGAAAGAATTAACGTATTTATAAAATATCTCTAAACAGTATATTTTTAATCGTATTTTATTTACATGTTCATTCAATTGTCCCGCATAACCTTCCCTATGAACAATTTCTCCAAAAACGCTAAAACACCTAAAACTTTTATGTATATTGTACCAATTTTCGTGTTAATTAATTTTAACATTAATTTACAACCCCTTCTTTTTCAGCTTTCTAACTTTTTCTTACTTTCCTAAGTCTACAATAAATTACATGACAGAAATTCAGAATGTATGTAATAATTCTTCTACTATCATTCATTTTATTTTCTTTTTAAAAATAAATTTTTCACATTTTTTGAATTTGGCCGACAATTGGGTTTTATTCGTCGGTTGGGTATTCCGAAATATTAGTCGGTGTTCGGTTTTGCCGACTCGCGCATAAAAAATTAAAAATACAGTTCACTATATCTACACGCCAACACTGTATAAAGTATTTATTCTAAGCTGTAAACTCTAAGTCGGTTCTATTTACAACACTTATTTTTTCAAAATTCGAGCAGATCACTTATTGCAATTTACTGAGCAATACATATAAACATTTGGCACTAAAGAAAACACTGAAACCCGCGTCGCATCTTTAAAGTTCTACATCCTGATTGAATAAGAGCTTATGTAAATATATGTTCATATAGATTATTATAAGAAAAATAAATCCGTGATATTATTGCAGTTTAGTACTTACCTCAAATGAGTCGGAGATAATGAAAAACATCAATTTTCATATCCGAAGGTACTGAATAGTAGAAGTAAAAAGTTACAATTTTACGTTTATTACAAGTTTACGTTATTTTATTTTTTTTGCATTTCTTTACGTCGGTTGTAAAAATATCTAATTCTGATTTTTATATCACTTTTTAATTATAACTTTCAAATGCAACATTCAATCTAATTTGTTTTAGGTCAACGTAATGACCAGCAAACTAAAATTAAAATGAGCTAAATGTCGTTTCCTTAAGGCTTACTTATAACAAGTTTTTTTTTGTAAATGTAGCAATCTTCAAATTTCATTTGTAAAATGGACTTGAAGAGAAAAGTAAATAGTGGATTTCAACAAAAGCATGTATTAAATAATCAATATCTTGTTGTTTTGAAACTTATTTATTATTTTAATTAGCATATTAAATTAAAAAAAATTCCATTTGTGAAATAATAAATTATAAAAGTAGAACTTATAATTGTCAAATTCTACAGAAAATGAACAGGATATATGCATATCAGGAGGAACTGACACTTTATAAACATGAAATAATTAATAATATTTTTTTCATTAAACTATAAACAAATTTACAAAAACATAAACTATAAATGGCTTTTAGCAGTTTACTATTTTGAAATCGGCAATCATTCACACGATAAATTGCTAGCATACTCTGGAAACTATTGTGTGTCAACACTTATAGGTGCACTTTACTAAATTAACAATAATAACACTCAAAAATATTTTCATAGAAAATCGAAGAATCGATTTCACGGTTTACGGTGCGCAGCTTTAAATGCCTCCTCTAAGCTCTTAAGCGAAATAAGCATAGTTAGGGAAACTTCATGTTTTAGTTTTAGTGGTTTTTACGTAGCGCAGCGATTTCAAGTTTTATCGCAAGCTTCAACCTAACGTGTAGCACTCTGAGTGGATAATTGCGGATTTACCATTTTCATTTGTAAAAAGCTAAACTTTTAACAATTGAAACATTTTTACAAACAAAACAATATTGCAATTGCAAGAGATATTTTTTTAATATTTAAGAGCTCTTAGAAGAAAAAATATTAGTGTTAAGTGATAATTAACACAGCGCAACTGATTAAATTGAGTTAATGCTCAATAAAAGTGTTTGCACTACATTAAAAACAAGTGTTTTTAAAGGTTATTGTTTAGCTTTTTCCAAAGTTTACATTCTTAATTAGAGTTTCGTTGAATAAAGTTGTGCACGCAAATATGGACTTGACGTCGACAAAAATTTGTGTCGGAATTCTATTCGGATTCTGGCGTTTCTTCTGGGGAATTCTTCCAGTTAAACTCGACAGATACTTGAGAAAATGGGAAGAAGCCAGTTCGGATTCAAAAACTTTCATAAACGAAAAGCGGCATCAGCAAGTCACCTGCTATGTTGCTTTAACGCAATCTTTCGGTGGCGGAGTTTTATTTGCGACGTGTTTTCTGCATATGATGAAAGAATTGTTTATCTCAGTAGAGGAAATTAAAGCCAAATGGGAACTGTCTAACAATGAATATCCAATCTCTCAGGTCATTATTGCGTTTGGATTCTTTTCGATTTACTTTTTGGAGGAATTTACACATTGGATGGTCAACAAAGGAAAGAAACGGCAATGCACAAAAATGTATGTCGGAAAGGTTAGTAGATTTGTTCGTAAAATCGAAGTTAAGCTTTTGCAGCTTAAAACATTTCTCAATAACTTTTTACTGTTTAGAATTTGAAAGAAATTGAATTTGTGGTGGATTTTCAAATTTTCGAGTTCAGAGAAAGATACTTCACATTATTTAAAAAATAGCAGTTTTGTGTAAAGATTTTCATCAACATTCACAAGATAAATATTTTTGACGTTAACAAGCATCCTTTTTTTCTGTTTTTAGGAATGGTTAAGGACATACCTTTAATTATTCTTTGAATTGCATCATAAAAACCAATATAATTTACATCAAGATAGACTTTAGAAATAATTACAATTTATATTTGCCATTAAATTTACATATCTAACTCTTTATTTATTAAACTGATTCTCTTTTGAGCTGGTCGATCTATAGTAGTCTTTTTACAGTAGGATATTTTAGTATAAACGATACTTGATTAAGTGGAAAGGTAACCATATATCAGCGTATCTAGTGCTAAATATAATCTCAAAGCTGTTAATAGAACTCGACGTTATATTTTTATTGGTAAATAAACATGAAATTAAGAAAGATAAATACAGTTTGAATTTTTTTTAAGTTCATATATCATCTGGCTTACGTCCAGAATCAAAATTTTAGATTTTTAAACTTCTACATGACTTTGAAGGCAACCTAAATTAGTAATAACTATTACCAATTATTACTTCTTATACCCAAATAGACATGTAATCTTTTTCAATTATAACCTGTTTATTTATTATATAATAAATTATCAGACTTGTAAAAAATAATAAACAAACAATTTTTTCCAAGCTTTCACGACTTTTTCTAGTCCCAATTGGTTTTTTCAATTTATCGCCAAACGAAAATAGATTCAGATCGGTTACATTTCTTTTAAACACTTGATTATTTCCTGTGGATTGCAACTCTCATATTGTTGACTGATGATTTTGATCGTATATTCAGTAAAATGTTTATCAAGAGATGTTTTCGATGCGGCATCTCAGATAGTGTTTACAGTATACTCTTTTCCATGTAACTAGCACATGCTGAAATTCTGCGTCTCGAAATATCGATGTCTTTTCATCGCAATAAATCGGTTTTAATTTCGTTTAAGGTTCAAGGCATTGCTTTAAACATTTTTAACAGGAATAAGAAAATAATCAAAACCTCGCACTTGGTGGTTTTCACAAAAAGCCTAAACAGGCCTTGAACCAGAAATTATGTATAAACAATTTTCCGTTCTTCTAATGCGACATTGTGCCTACTAAAGAGGCAAACATAATCCTTTATTTTCTGTATGCGCACTTAACTTGCTTAAGGAGTTGGAAATTCGTAGGAAGACTGATAACCCTGTCTGTTTGTATAAATAAGCCGGTCAACAAAGTATAATTTTAACCCCATTTTAAACAGCTTGGCCGATCATGTTGTTTGGCCCTTTTTAAATGAATTAATTGATTAATTTGATGCTGTTTGAAAGTTTTACTATAATTTGGCTTATAAATAGGCTTAACGCCTATGTTTTTGCGATTAATATGATCCTTGTTTTGTGTCCTTGTGTGGCCTAGATCGTTGCCCGATTGCCCGATTTCCATTTTGCAGCTCATAATTTATGTTCTATATATTGTCTAAAAACCCATTAGTCACTATGAGAAGATTCTTTAATTTTATGCTGTTAATTTTAGCATTTAACTAACGATCTTGCAGAGGGAGTTCAACTATGGAATTTTCTGATAGGTGTTTTGTCTTGGTATCGATTTAACGGGTAAAGTTTGTTTGTCCTTTGCTCCAAGTTGTTTTTATTTTTATATAATTTTAATAGAGTGGCTCGAAAGATGACCGATTAGGACGCCCTTTAATGGACCTTTACAACGAAATTTGTCTTGTTATAGTGTTACATGTAACTTAAAATATTCCAACTATTTCTTAACTAAAGTGCACATGTAGCATAGTTCTGCAGAATGACTTATTTGCGATTTAAATAGAATGTTTAACGTTGAAATTCAGACAGTTCAGATTATCTATTTGGAATTGCACCATGCCAATCTATAAAAGAGAAAAGGCAAGTAGGGTTTTAGAAACACGAAAGAAATTTAATATTATATTCTATTAGTTAGTTTAATTGGGCTATAAATGGCCGCAATTGGATAATACGAGGAGGGTTTTTTGTTTATAAATAATAAATGTATGCAAATTATTTCTTATTCCTAAATGCCAAGTACTTGAAATTATATTATTTTGTCCCTGTCTATATTTGAATGACTTCAGTATTTAGCAGTTTAGGTGCTTCAACTTTGGAATTACCTATTGCGCCATTAAGAATGAATGTAAATCTAACAAACAACACATTGGCGCGTGTCTCTATCATATAGACGATTTGAAGTATTTTCGGTCTTATTATTAAATTTGTTTGACTCCGACCAATAAACTTGAAATCATATAATACAAAATTGCACGTACGTCGTACAGTTCAAATAAACCCCTATAAGGATGTAAGAGAAGATACGTCAATTTTGAATCACTCTGTATCACAAATATAGCCAAGTCATGGTGTAAAAATTGTTCGATTTGGCACACTTTTATCGTTCGTCAAGCTCACCTCAGCCAAAGTGCTTCTAGGAAGTTTGTGAAACCCAAATTTCCTAACTAGAAACAACATTTATTTCAAAAGCATTTTGAATGAAATCTGTTTAGATCAAATGCATTTTGCGATCATCGATCGGGCATAAAGTGTTCCTTAATATGTAATTCGTTTTAATCGGGAATTTATGGAGATGATGACATATCGGTTGTGCGGCTTCCCATCAGCATATATTAAATATTAAAATATGGATTGCTTGCGACGTCAACGTATAAAACCAACCAAGTTTGTTACTATTTGCAAAAAAGTTTTGTTAGTATTTGCACTATAATATGGAAATTTATGTAGTGTAAGCCTTAAAGGTACTTTCTACTACAACAAAAAACAGTTTACCTTATTATTTCTATATATTTCTCTCTACAAAACAAAAAAAAACCTATGGCGGATTATTTGTATATTTATGTATATGAATCTTTGAACAGACACTTAAAATTAACATGAAGTTAAGAACTTTCGTGGATGGGAAATTGCGTCACCACCCAATAAGTCTTTCAGTGAGGAGGTAGCACTAAACGTACAAATTACCGAATGAAATTGGCGTAATTGTAAATACTTGAACCGATAATACAAATGGTCATAAAAAGATGTCAATAAGTTAATCTCTTCATGTAAACTCTTCATGCAAAACTTCATGCTTGCCATTTGCAACTACATGCCTCATCTCACGCTGATAATTAATTATTTATTTATCTAATATTTATTATATTATATACCTATTTATTACATCGATGTACTTCGATTGATTTTCATTACATTTAGACCTCAGTTTTACGTTGGGCTGTGAATGTACAAGCTTTTGTATGGATTGTGAAATTACAAAATTTTACTTCAAAGGTGTAATTTCACTTGTTCGGTAAATTGCACCGAACGGCGACTTTGTTAAATAGCTTGGTTAGTTAAAGTAGTTAAAAAGCTATTTGCATTGTCCTTTTTGAACAGTTTTCAAACTTATGCCCTTTCATTTAAAATTGTAGATATATTTTGTTGTCGAAGCAGTAACTTTTTTCAACTTTTACATACCTTTTGTTCACTAAGGCTAAAAATAACTCATGCTGCCTGAAGCACATTCCGGGCTGAATTAAAACTTTCTGTAATTTTATGAGAAATAATTAAATTTTATTAGCCATTTCTATTCACACAATTCAATGCATTAGTTTTAGTTGACGGTTTTCAGGTTTATTCTTTTGATATGATTAAAAGCATGAGTCACCCTACCGATTTTATCTTTGTGGAATAGGAACAATGAAAATATGACATGCCGCTAGAAAATAAAAAAATCGCACATATCGCCGACGAATAAGTGCGATTTTCACATAGGACCAAATGACAAAATTCATTATTTCTTCATCTCCCTCAAAAAAGCCATCACCAATTCAGGGAATTTATTAATATCACTCGTTTTGCATTGCCATGCAAATATAATTATCAACGTACAACAACAGAGTTCGTAGAGCTGCAAAAAAGAAAATTAATTATAGTTATTGAAAATTTTGACTACCAGGTAGGGTTATCCTACAAACCCTACTTTTTCTTTTCAGAAAGGGAATCAATTTTTATAACTAGTTCTTGCTGATTTTTGGATGGCTCGTACCTCCACATGCAATATCGCATTTAAGTGACATAAGTTTCATGGCAAACTGCATTGTTCAATTTTTAAACAGTAACTTATTTTGGTTTATAGTTATGACATTAAAGTATACAGTTGATAAGAACAAAAGACTAAACGTACGCGTAAAAAATGAACTTTTATAACTTGGTTAAAATTGCGGTCGTCCAAGGAGCTATCTGGTAATTTAAATTCACGAACTTTTATAATTGATAACTGTCGTGTCCCTTAATAGTTAATGTATATTTGATTGAGGAGGTCTAGCTGAAACGCACGTCAAAAAGCTCTGAAAATCTGGTGTTGAAACTAAATTTGTCATAACTTATTGATCTCAGTATAGTTGGGAACAAATGCCGATGAAACATAAACTCTTTATTTAAAATCTAGGTTCTTGACCGACTTTTACTACCCTTACGATTTTCCACCTGGTGAGCGCTTCGATAGTCATCTTCGTAGGAAGATTAAATCTGGGTTCATGTTCAAATAAAATTATGAATATTTTGGATTAGAATAATTAAGATGGTTCAAAATAAAGAAACTAAGAGGATAGCAAATACCAGTCGCATTGCACTGCATCGCGTTTTCTTTATAAACGTAAAAACCTTGAAGAAGAAAACATATTTATTTAAAAGCTTGGCCACCAACTCAAACATTTTTTTTTGGGGATTATAATAGATTGATCAAAAATATTTTCACTTTTCAAACTATAACAAATCCGTCAAGACCTTCATTCCAACTATTTTTTTCTGTTATATTCATTTTAAAATAATGAATAGAAAATGCTTTTTACATTTAGTGATATGTAAAAATGGTTGAAAAATATGCCTCAGTGAGAAAACAAGTTTGATTTTTAGCGCTTATTAATCGTTTGAATAAAATATCATAAAATGAAATCCACTTGAACAGTAGAGTATCTAATAATCCCAATTATACATATAGGCTACGCTGTTTTGTTATTTTCCAGGTAGCCAACGTAATAACCAAACAAAAAGCACCAGTACCAACATCAGCAAAAAGTACGCAAAGTCTGAGGTCTTCAAAGGTATCGCCTATGAAAACAATAGCCACAATAGAGGAATGGGAATTAAATCAGAAAAATAAGCCTGAATCCGAATTTGAGTTCGATGAAGAATTATCTCCCACAACCGAGAAAGAAGAGAAACCTGGAAATTTCCTAACATCCCCTTGTACAAGTGAGAAAAGCATGAACAGAACATATAGTGGAAGAAGCCGACATTCAATCAAAGAAGAAATCAATCGAGCAAATATTGCACTTATTCAAGAAGAACAGCTCAGTCTAACTGATGAAGAAACCATGAAAGATCAAGAGCAACTAATGAGATGTGTCTTGACAATCGCTGCTTTATCACTTCATACGTTATTGGAAGGTCTGTCCATTGGAATCCAAAAGTTTAAATATGAGATTTGGTACTTATTTATTGCTGTGAGCATCCATTCAGCGTCCATACTGTTCTGTATGGGAGTTGAACTAATTTTAGCCCAAACCAGAATTAGATTTATAGTGCTACAAATGGCTGCTTTAGCATTGGCGAGCCCTGTGGGTATTTTACTTGGCTTACTGGTGTCGGGGGAATCGTCTATGAAAACCTTTGGGATGTCTGTAGCAGGAGTGATAGTTGAAGGGTTTTCAGCAGGTACAATATTGTACATAACGTTCTTCGAAGTTTTAAACAGAGAACGGGAAAGAAGAGTTTATCGGCTACGAAGGGGTTTATGTATTGTAGGAGGATTTGTTATAATGGCGTTGTTACAGTACTCGGAAACTAGAAGCGATAAACATAAAATACTGCAGTATAATAATTATAATAAAACAGTGTCGTGAATTTTACAGCATAATGTAAATTTACCTGGCTAAGACTGAACATAATGGTACTTAAGAAACACAGAATGAGATTGATCGATTTACAATTGTTTGAATGAAATGTAGTGCAGAGCTTCTAAATACTAATATGATGTAAAAAGGTTTGCATAATTTTAATTAAAAGAATATATACGTAGATTATGTAACTAACTATTTAGGCTATGTTGAGACGTTGCGCTTAATACAGTAACTATAAATATATAATTAATAATTGGAGGTCGAGAAAATAGAACTTGATGATTCAGTCATTGAAATTAGAAGATAGTCATGTCTAGATTTCTATACTTATTAGCTACTAATTTTGTAAAAATAAACGCTATCAACGCTCCATGTTGTGCTATGCATTTTCTGCTTCAATATGCTTTATTAGAAAATTTTATTATACAATTTTCTAACAGCCTGTTTAAAGAAAATACATTTAAAATGCGAGATAGGTTTTTATCAACAGCATCAAGTGCTGATGTGCGTGAGTTTATTATATCTGTAGTTCTAACTGTAGTAGCTCTATTAAAATAGGTGTAATTATTTCTCAGTACCTTGTTAAATTTACTTTTCAAATCCAATCAGGTGCATATTGCATTCTCATTTTGAAATATAGCGTTTCCAAACGTTCAATGGAAGAAACTAAATACAGTCGCGAACGCTTGGGAATTAGATTCTGGCATTTGAAGGTATTAGTCCAAAAATAGTAGTTATCGACAGATAAATTGCACCTGGAAGATTGCTTTTTAAATATTCTTTTATTTATCAGTACTTTAATACAAATGTGCCAATACGTAAATATTATTATATATATATAAAGGAGAGGAAGGAGGTGTGTAAAAACATTACAAGTATCTACATTTACAGTAATTTGTTCTGCATGATTAACATGTTCATCATATTATTTGGCTTACATGTTCTTGAATTAGCTTATAACAGAAGCTCACATTCTGTCGCCTGAACCAATAAAAGTAACAAATACATGGAATAGTAAATGCTGAACAATAAGTAAAGACCTTAATATTTTGATATAAAATAATGAAAAAGAAACAGTCACATATATGCATCGCGTTATTTTTCAGCTAAACTTATATAACGGCGTAAACAAAATTTGCATAGTGTCCTATTTCGGATTTCAAATATTCGCTTACCATACTCATAAAAGGCTAGAATATATTTGTCGTGATAAAAATCTAATAAACACGTGCATAAGCGAGCCTCGGCATTCTAAAAGTTACTTAAGTCGTTATTTTAAAGTTGACTTAATAATTCACATTTGCCAAATCATGGAGGACTTTTGTTCTAACTAAACATTTCAAGACATTTCTAGCATTTTGATGACTAATGAGCAATAATTAATTATTAGGAAATATGACAACGTAATTTAACGAAAGTTTAATTATACCACCTTAAACATTTGAAAAGCGTCTAATTTTGATATTTTCAGTTGTTGTTTGCTGTTACAAATGTTGCAGTGATTTCGAAGGTAGAAGTAATCATAATGATGTTAACTAATAATTAACAACTAGTTTTGCTAAAAGTATCGATATTTTATTATGCCACACTAGTTTGTAGGAATCATATTTTAATATTCAACCAGTATATTTATTAACAACTCTATTAATAAAATATTAGTTGTTATCACTAGGTTTTAGAAAATATTTTGTATTCAACAATGTACAGGGTTATTTATTTTTATATAAAAGTATTGCAAGTTTCATTTCTCACTTAAAGTAAAAGAAATATGACTATTATCTTTAGTATAGTCGAGTAGAACTCATGTTAACTATTAAGGAAGGATAAATTTAATCCGCACTTTAACCCAAACTTTTTTTTCATAGTTTTCTAACTGTCTACGTGCAATAAGGCGATGTACCGGAACAGCGTTATACGTCAACTCACTCCCATGTGTGTCTCCGCATTGAGTGATTTTAAGTGGCAAATTGTTTACAAAATTAAAATTGCAATCCCCAATGCATTAACAGTTGAAGAGTTAGCCTCCCAACAAAAAATAAAAAATATTCCCAATTTTGATCAAAACAAATATAAGTTTGACTTATTCTTTAGTCCATTTCCAGTTCACAAAAAATCACGATTTGTGTCCTTAATATTTACGGTCAGTTAATCATAAATTAAATAAAATTATAAACATTTCTGAAATCAAATACTTAGCTTCGATGCAAAGTTTTGAGCTCCTGAACAGGATACAGGTGAAAGATTTTTTTTTGACTAGAAACAATACTATATATTAATAATATTGTCGTTAAGAAGACTGTGGAAAACGTTATTAACCTAAAAAGCAGAACTAAGGCAATCTGAATAATGATCAAATCGATACCATATTATTCCATCCCAATTTGCTATACTCTATTGAAAAAAGTCATTGGAAAATAATTATATTGATGTAATACTGAGTGTCGTCCATTCCGTAATTAATTGAATATAAATAATTCTGTGCTTATATGGTGTAAGACTTAAATAATAAATTGTTACAAATATTACACTATTAAAAGTTAGTCTAGTAAGCCGAACATTTAGAGATTCTATCAGAATTGTTTGTCAGATATTTAATATAAATTGTTACTTTATGTGTTTGTGTTATTATCTCTGACCCAACAGTATGATCAAAGTCACTTCAACACTTACTTCAAATTTAGCCATCATCAAAAACCACTGCGTTAGAATATCAATAGAATTGCGACAAGCTGTAACATTTTGTACTCAAGAAATGACCGTTTGATAATGTTGACCACTTTAGGTCGTTAAAGTTTTTACAGCCAATCAAAACTTTTTCTACTGAAGATGCCTCTATAGTAACCGCTTACTCCAGAATGATAGAGGCTAATGATTCACAAAAATGTAAAAAATTTAGTGCAATTTAAAAAAAAAAGGAGGAACATATTCAATGGCTTTTCATTAAGGCGATGGTTAACGTTATTTCATATATTTAATAAAATATATGAAGCAGGAAAAATACCAGATGATCATATATCTGACATCGGTATTTATATCACTAGCAAAAAAGAAAAACTCCATGAAATGTGAAGAACACAGGATCTTGATCTGATCATAATATACTTAAGTTTTTTCTCCGAATAATTCACAGTACGCTCTCTCAATATCCAAGTAGCACAATACGATAAATAAGACGAACGCATTGGTCAAACTCAATTTAATTTTAGGAATGGGTTTGGAACAAGTAAAGCACTTTTTTCAATGCGTCTGTTAATTGAAAGATGTAGGAATGTCGATTCTGATGCACAATCCAGTACATAAGCATGGACAGATATGATGTCCATATAATTATTTCTTCTTTAATTAATAATTAATTTCTAATTTCTATTCTTCCCTATATCCCTTTCATAAACTTTTTTATTTATTTATATCAATGTTGACCTGTGAGTTCAAACTAGGTGGGTGTTTTGAAATAAATTTTTATATTTTGGCTAATTTAAAATCCCCCTTATGCTATGGTTGGCTATTTTTACTGTTACCAAGCCCTGTAAATCCACCCTAAGTAACAATATCCGTAAAAATTTAACCACCTGCCCGTTTCCCATAACAATATCGACCTAAGAAGATTTATAAAATATTATTGACGGATCGTAATCGGTTGTTGTCACATGTATAGTTCAAGGCATTGTTTTACCATCTGCTCTTAGAAAATGTTCGGCGGAGTCAACGTTGAGCCTCCAAGATGCAAACAATTCACAAAAAGAGATTCAAATCGCCAAGATATTCTCGCACCGAGTATTACTCCAGGATATTTTGCTCACGTGAGTAAAATGTATATCGATAAAATATAAAAAGGAATATTTATTTCTTTTTATCCCTTTATAGGGGTGTATTGAAATTCAGATTTTTGTCTCCATATTACTCTTGGAGTCAAGAAAACAACTAGAAGCACTTAGAACAGAGCATTTATTAACACATTATTTTATTCTTCCTTCACTTATTCGATAATTTTTCTCTGCTTTTGCAATGTCTGGAAGGTAGGTTGAAATTGGGCGTAGTTGGCAATTTTAAGTTGTATGTACCCAGGCTACTTTTGACAATTTTTGTAAATCTTTTGAAGGCAAAACAGGGCAGTAAAGAAGAAGGGTAGGTACTAGAAGTGGAGAAGGGTACAGTCTGCGCAATTATTGTGACTGTTGATTTCGAGATTTTCCATTGTCGCATAGTTTTACGATATTATTTAATTACGGCATTCATAGAATATATTCACCATAAAATAGTTAATTAGCGCCATAAACCTGCAACCTATTTATTCAATAAAATATACATTATAGCAATTACATTGATTTTTACTTCGGGCTTTGCAGCTAGTGGCACTTTGGCACGATTCGTTTTAGAAAATCTCTACACAATATAAATAAACCCATAAAATGCTATAAAGGGGCGAAATAATAAAATGCATAGTCGTATATATTTTAAGAGCATTTATGTTCCAATTTCAGCGACACAAACTGGATCGAAACAGTTTAATAAGTGCATTTCCGAATTTAATAGCCTTCGAAATAAATATAATAGTGTTATTTCAGTCAATTTCTATAAAAGCATTTGTAGTATTGAAAACCCGGTTATCTTTATGTGGGACGGTGGACATATTTTGAAGATGTTATTTCACAGCGGATTGGAGGGTTGAGTCAATTTCACTCAATTTGAGGAAATCAGTTTTTACCATTTATTACTAGTGTATGAGTTGACTAACTTATTTTTATATTGTGTTTTCTGTAGAAAACTAATCAAGTATTTCTTTGATGTTTGAGTTGATTTTTCAAAATATGTTTTATGAAAAGTTATGTGAACTACTATTATTGACCGTATATTAAACAAGGCTGACACTTTGTTTAGTGTAATTTTTAAAACTCATGTGTTAGTGTTTTCTAAATAATTACATCTTTTAAATAAGGAATTAAACAATTTTTTAATGTTCAAAATTCAACAAAATTAATTGTTCTATTATAACTTTTTCTAATTTTTGCTGTTGTACTGAAGGGTTGTATCGGAATTTAAATGTTCATGAGATAGCACTTTAATTAGTTGTGATTTATTGCCTTAGTTCGCCAGACAACCCAATTCAAACAATCATGTCCAAATGATACAATATCAGCAACAAAAAGAAGCTTTTGAGAAAGCTCGTGAAGATGCCACTAAACAACAAATGATAAAAAATGCCACCGAAATTAAGTTCGAAAATCACGCGCAGAAAAAGCGCTATCAAAGATCATTGGAAAATAAAGTTAAAGAAAAGTGGAAAGCTTATGAGGCAACCATCGAAGCAAGGCGAGAGAGGTAAAAAACGGAATTATATTTAATTTAATGGCATTTCTAGATAGGTCCAGATCAACTGAACAATAATTTCATAAGAAATGAACACTTTTATTTAAAAAATTTTGTTTTAGTCAACTGGTTGCCATAAATGTTTAAAAAAAATTATGGAAACATAAATTTAATATGGAATTTTTGCGAAATGTATTTAACAAAAATGTCAAATGAATCATCTCCTAGAAAAGACGAATGATCTTTTAGGAGAAAATAATAACATTTTTAACTGTTTGCTAAATTTCTTATTGTACGAAGATTGATTTCTAAATTCTAAAGACCCAATCAACATGATAGAATATATTTTTGCAGTTTTACTTTCTATGTCTTTACTTTTAAGTCCAAACCCCATGAATAGTTTTTATTTGAGGTTACAAGAATTGCTGCAAAGAGAGGAAGTTCAGTTATATTATGAAACAGTGGATGCCGCCCAAAAAGGAGCCGATATGAAAATGGAAGAAATGAAATTAAAAGCACAAATGATGAAAGCAAAACGAGAGGAAGAACGATTGCAAATAGTTCACGAAAAGAAAATAGAACAATACAAGTAGGTAACACGGTTGTGTTACCTTTATGAAGACGGTTGATTAAAAAAAAACATATATTTAGGAACCTCTGTCAAGAACTAAGACCATCTCTGATAAAGAAACGATTAATGGAATCAAAATACTCCCAACTTCAACAAATTAGAGAAAATGAGGCGAGAAGGGAAGCTGACCGAGAACTGGATAAAATGTGGCACGAACTAGCAGTGAAAGAAGTAGAAGCCAAAGTAAGCAGTGCGAAAAAGTTAATCACACTACCACTTCATACAAATGAATAAAAAAATCAAATTTTTGTGCACTTTTGTGAATTTTTTTAGAAAGAAAGAGAGGTTCAAGAGATGTTAGAAAGAAGAAACAAAGAAAAAGAAATGTTAATGGTTTGGGAGAAACAGATTAAAGGGAACGAATTGTTACGAGAAGAAATAGGCAGAGTTGCTCAAGAGGACAGGCTTGAAATGCAAAAATTAAGTGAACAACTTCGGAGGGAGGAAATCGAAGGTAAGGAGTTTTCAAAGTTCAGTTTCCAAGTTCTTTGACTTATTTTTTCTTACTCACTCACTATACGAAATGATTTTGTACATTGACTTTAAAAGCAAAATTTTACTATGTCAAATAATGTTTGTATTAGAAACAGTGGCAAATATTGTGAGAATTACGTGCATGCGTGGACAACCAAATGGAAACTAATTATGGAAAACCACAAATACCGTAACAATATAGACTTTAATTTATTTTAGCTCTTGACAAGAAAAGGCGGAAAAGGGACGAAGCTGCTAAACAAATTTTAGAGCAAATCGAAATTCAGAAACAATTACATGACCAACGAAAAAAAGAAGAAAATGCTTTAGAACAAGCCTTTACTACACTTGCCCAGGTAAAAAAATGAATTTATAAAGGGAAACATGTTTACCATTTTGTATAATTTGCAAGTTGGAAATTGAACGAGAAAGATCGTCGATGCAAAACGCAGCTGAAAATGCTCGCAGGGAAACTGCTATGTATCGACAGCACTTAAAACAGTTAGACGATGAAAGAAAACTGGAAGAGAAAAAACTCATGGAACTCTTGGAAATGCATAGGAAGGAAGTTGAAGAAAAACAGAATGCAGCCCGGTGTAAAATTATTGAAGCAAAGAGGCAATTGCAAAAGGTGATAATTCGATGCGTAGACCTACATGAAAAAATCTATTTTATACTTAATGTTTCTTTAAAAATTAACTGTTTCATATGAAAAACATTAGCACAATCAATTAGCAGCTTTAAATATTTCCAGTTCCTATGCAAATATTTTAACTCTCTCAGCAAACTTCTACCTAACCTAAAGATTTTTTTGTTGCTTAACTGTTGACGCAAAATTAAAAATATATTCTTGAAGCAATACGAACTCCTCATTGCTGCAGTGCATACTAGAGAATGAATAAGCAAAACATGCAACTCCAATAGGTGAAGCATCACAGCATCAGTTAGAAACTTCTCTTTTCATAATCAGACATTATAAATTAGCTGATGTGTATGTAATTAATAACGCTAATAAGATAATGTGATTGAAGAATGTTCTAGCTGAAAGAGCAAATCAAATCAATTATAAGCAGCTTGAAGCTGAACAGCAGCTTAAGCTGAAAGAAGCAGAGAATGAGCTATTGCGAATGGCGTATGAAACTAATGAAAGGCTGCAGGCGGAAAGCGATAGGCTGGAACGACAAGCTGCTCTACAATACCGACAGGATCTAAAGCGGCAGATTGATTATAACACTGTCCTCCGGGTAAGTAAAAATCAATTTTCTGTTGCATTGTTGCAAGCTAAGTTCAGAGTTTACACTCATTAATCAATCACTAGGCTTGTTCTATCATATTTCGAATTATATTTCATTTGGTTACACAGAACACAGAAGTAAGTATCTACGCATAATTACTTTAAATAATATTATTAAGCACAGAACGTGAACAGAATCAACAATCTGTAAATAGAATACTTACTGGATTCAAATGTATAAATATTCAAACATTGTAATGAAATTGATTTGTCTTTCGCTGTTGCTTCCGAAACTCATTTGGTCAAGCAAGCCGAAGGGTTATACATATTATTCTTATACAAATTATTATAAGTCCAAATTGGGACAAAGTTGTTGATTTATTTTTGTCTTTAGCTATATGGACAAGTTGCACACAGCATAAAATGATTTTATCCAAAAATTGGCCTGCCCTTACATTTTCATTTAACTACTGGCTACTTCCCATACTTATAAGTATCATACATAAAATAAATATTCAAAGAGAAAAGAGTGTCTTTTGTTGAAGGGTAAAAGTGTCTTAAATTGTTTGCGACATATTACCGTCGAACATCATCCGATAAATATTTAAATTTGCTTCAAGTGTTTGTAGTGATGTCTGAACTAAAGTCTCTCGAAGTCAAATCTAAGTAGTTATAGTATGCGATATTTTGATTTTATTTTAGAAGAGAGAACGTGAGGAATTAGAACGACAGTTGGCAGAAGGCGCAAAGGAAGAAGAAAAATACAAAAAAATAGTTGAACAAATGCTGAGTGGTGAGATTGAAATAACTGCCAAACACCCATTTCGAAAGGCCATAGAAAAACATGATTGTCTCTGTCCAATTCCCAATTAATAAAATTTATATTAAATTTTCTTACTGTGAAACTATTAGAATGGTAGTGAAAATTTATTATGATCTGTTTTAGTTAACAAAGTTTTAAGCATGGCACTATCGAATGATTTCAATAACCTTGTAATTACTAAATGAATAATTGCAACTATCGGATGAATTCATTCGATAGTTTCTTCCGGAGTTGTGTGAAAGTGTATCTTTATTTTGAAAGCGATGAAACCAAAGGGTGACTTTTCTGAAACTGCAATTGAAAAAAACTGACTTTCGATTTAGTAATTGCTAAATTAAATGCCATTTTAAAGTCTGAAATTCCAGGAGATTAATATACAAAAACACTAGATGTAGACAGAAAAGTATCCAAAGAAGTGGATGATATTTGGACAAAAAAGTGTCAGAGATAAAAACTGTTGCTGGCCAGACACCATACCATAAGATCTGAAAATTCTACTTGCAATATCGAGCGAATATCCTCTACAATTGTGAAAAAAACTTGAGAATTTGTGTGCCAGACTTGATTGTTATTTTCATAGATCTGCTTATTTCATGTATGCATTTCTATTTTCTGTTGCTAGTGATTTTGCATTTTCCTTCCTCAGAGATCGTTGCATGCAAATTTATGCCAAACATTTTGAGTTTAAATTTACTAATATAATCAAGTGCACAAGTTACTTTGCAACTGGAAGTTGAACTCTATTTTACATTTAGGCAAATTATTTCTTCTTTTCAGCTTATTTCACGATACTAATTTTCAGTTTCACTTGGTTCGAAGTTCCCTAATCGAGTTGTCATCATGTACATTGTACATTTATTCAATGTTCAATTTAGCAATTTGAGTTAAAACAGCAATTTTAAATCAATTGTAAGACTTTCGCTGCTTTTGTGGCTGGCGGCAAAGTGCTGCTGGAAATATTATTTGTCTTAAACTATTTAGAAGTAAATATTGTATTGTTAATTGTATGGCCAGTAAAATTAAAAATAATTTACATCATTTGCATATTTACTGGAGAAAAGTCCCATAAACATTGATTAGACAATATCAACCGCAATATGAAAATGATAAATTTGCAAAGACCAACCATACGAAGCAAAGTTGGTTTGTTTTCTGACTGATAGTTAATCTCTCTAATTAAATGCTGGTTACGTGGTTACACAGTATCATGCCCGCGTTTTGTTACTTTTGCTGAAGGCAAATTGCATTAAATGGCTTTTATGAAACTTAAGCGCAAGTCGTGATCCCGATCTCAAAACAATGCAATTAATTGGCTCGTTCATAAAAAAAATACAAGTCATAATTCTAAACGTTGTTAATTTCTAACTTATTGCATACTACTGTGTAGGTGCCCCCACTTATAAAGTACTTTTGGGTTTGATTAAAGTTATAATAAATATAAAGTATTATAAACATTGGATATAGGTAATTAAAGTCACTTTTTATTTTGGTTAGTATGAACATATTTAAAAAAGCGGTGACCTTACAAATTCCAGAAAAAAATATGAAAAAGTAAAACGATCCCCATTTAAAACAACAATATTGGCAGAAAAATAAATCTAAAACCAGACAAAATGGCATTTTGGAACTTGGGTGAAATGTAAAGCTTTATGATCTTAGGTAATGACAGCATTTTCGTAAAACAACATTTTTTTATGAGGATTATACGATTTCTATCTGACCATTTTGAAAATGAACTGCAAATATCGTAGAAAGCGACGCTGTAACCTCTTGCCGAGCCGGTTCAACAGTGAATTCAATCAAATTTTTTTATAAACAATTTTCACAAAGATGTGGTGCATAGACGATATTACAAAAACATCAACCGAAATTTGCGAATCCCAATGGCTCGGTAGAAGAGGGAAAGGCAGGATGTTTATGACTCCTCAAATCCCTTTTCCTATAAAAATAATTAATTAAAAAATATTTCTATTCTCTTTTGAAAAATAGAAGCGAGCAGTTAAGAAAACAAATACATTTTTTTGCAAAGAGAATAAACAAACATCAAAGCATGAGTTTTATTTCAGAATGAATCCACATATTGAAGGTTTTGTGCGTTTTATATCAACAAATTAATTTAAATCCTTTTGACTATGTTCTTATGCCCCATATTTGCTAAAGACATCTTTCAAAGGAATAAAAAAAAACGAAATGAATGGAATAACTATGTATGTTATATAGTGAGAACAGCTAAACAACTGGAAGACCGGTTTAAGTTAAATAAAAGTATTAAAATCCCAACTGATATTCTTTGCTTGATGTATTGCCCAAAGCAAATTGAATGTACTCTTAACGACATAGCTAGTAGTACAGAATAAATTAGACAAATTTAGTTTAAATTTACTACACGCCCGTGTACCTTTGAAGTATGCAGGACTTTCACCCGACCTTGGTTCATCATAACTTTCTATTTCGGCAGACAGTTTGGTAATGAAGCACTTAAAAAACACAGAGCCTCCACATTCAACTATACAAATTGATTTATTGCAGCCTTTATTTTAATCTATATAATTACAAATAAATAAATTCAATCTATGTTCAGTACAGAAGACCGATTGCAAAATGGTTAGGCAAGATTTTGGACGAGTTGCGGTGCTTGTTAGTTTATTTTGTTTGGTGAACGTGATTTGAACTATTAGAGTCAAATTAATTAAAGGCCATGTAGATGGTGTGCAATCTAATGATAAATATTCATGGTTTGCAAAATTTTCCTTTCACTTTCAGAGCATCTGACCATGATTGCGCAATAAATATTAAGAAAATGCTTTTGCATTCAAAATAAAGGAACCTGAAGAGTTTTTTAAACATATAGGATATGTAAAAAATTTTTTGTAGTTTAAAAATCCAGTATTGTTTTGTATGTCGAAGGATACAATAAACCATATGAAATATCCTTGTAGTTTCAATTTTTTGCCTTTCGTTGCTCCTGGTTTCAATTCGCAAAAAGAGACAAGTGTTTAGGTACGCAAACAGACAGAGCAAAACAATTATAGATACTGATTAGCTGATTAATAATACAAGTTTTAACACAGGACTAATCAAAACAGTAAATAAAGATATCGCCAAAATGAATTCCCGGAAACCATTTTCGTAGTTTTCCTATTTCGCAGCTATTGCCAGTCTTCTGGAATCTATTAAAAGGACGCAATGAGGTTTTCTAACACACTTGAACAATGTGTTATTATTTCACTGTTGAGTGTTTATGTTCCAACAAGTTCCTTGATAGTGGCATTCATCGAAACGCAAATCCAGGTAATTATTCTAATTTCCATTCTAACAAGTTTGTGCTTTGATTTTTAGTTTCATTTTTTAAATCGATATTTAAGTAACATGAAGTGACAATATTCCCACATTATCCAAGTTGATTGCAATAACAGAAATTCTCAACCAATAGTGAACATATCAAAAGGGAAAAAAGTCATTTCACATAAATGTGAAATTCTGAAAAACAATTCGTTTGATATCACTATACAGTAATTTTATATCAAATGCTTCAAATGAAAAAAGTAATTAAAATAAATGCATTTTTGTACTGTACAAAGTAGCTATTCTTACCGAACTCTACATTTGCTTCTAAATAATTCTAGCGTTGTTAATGTTCTGTAAAATGTATATCGTAAACTTTTCTTAATATGATTGATGCGATAAGCCATACATTCATCTTTTAAATATTAAATTATTGTTTATTTGAATTGTATTAATGTTGAGATTGATTCTATTGTATGGAACGGTTAATATGTCTGATTATGGTCTAAAAATGTATAGATAATTAACAAGTAAAAGTTGATATCAATTTTCAGAAACATTCTGCAACGTTAGACATACGTTTAAACAGTTTTTAAATATACGTTTTTCACTTTTTCGGATAAAGTATGAGTAAAAACAATTTTGAAATGTCTCCCCCGTTAGTGGCTTTATCTTTGTCCTAATGGAAGATTTGCAGAAGCTAATAGATAGAAAATGTTTCTTAATTCAATGGAAAACTCAACACACTTAACACCGACAGGATGGTTGTATAATCTTCTATATATATAAAATTCTCGTGTCACAGTTTTAGTTACCATACTCCTCCGAAACGGCTTGACCAATTTTGATGAAATTTTGTATGTATACTCAGTAGGTCTGAGAATAGGTTGTTATCTATTTTTTATACCCCTAAGTGATATGGGTGCTGCCATAAAACCCTATCTTTTAATAGCCTTTTAATAGCTATATTAGAAATTCAATAAATTTAGAATAAAATAAAAAAAAAATCTCAAGTGGGCAAACCGCCCACTCGAGATGGAAAAAAACCCTAGGAATAATTTATATGGCAATACAACGTTTGCCGGGTCTTGTTAGTATTTTTATATTCAGTTTATCAAGTACCTACGTTCATAATATTTAAATGCATATCACTCCTAATTCTGCTAAACACAGAAAGACCCCAGCATTTCATTATTTAACAATGAATTATTTAGGTACAGATATTTCATTGTTAATAAAAAAGAAGTGGAATTGCAACTAATATGATGATAAACATAATTGCAGTTTATATATCGCTGTAGAACAAACAGTTATGTTGAGCGTCATTTCTCCGAAGTCAAAACTTCTCCGACACCAAATAATTTAGTAGCCTCTATATTCGCTTTCTTGAAGTTTTTACATAATTATTATGTTATTTAACGTTTTAAAGCGAAACAGGGGCCTCCTGCATTGGGTTTTAGTGATTGTCCTTAATCCATACCGTCTATCAAAACAAATTAAAAATTGAATATATTTTAGCACTTTTTGTCCTAGACCGACCAAATAGAGTAAATTACTAGAGTAAATGGGTGGATATTAATGGTGTAATCCCACGGTGACTGATGAAATATTAATTTCCATCTGCATTTTTTTGCAGTTACCATTCTTTAAGTTCAGGGTTATAAACCTAATAATAATGTATCTTCGTCAGCTTTTCCACTTTCTGACCACCTAATAATCTAAAAGAAGCAGCTAAAAAACTCAAGCTTTCTCAAATTTTACGATCATTTTAAATAGTATTATTACAATATAAGCGCGCATTATTGCCGTTCAATTTTATAAACGATTTTCACTAGAGTAATTATAGGGGAATTAAAATTAATTATATTACATCTTTTGATGGGATGGGCAATGAGTCAAGGACTCCATGTCGCTTTTTCATTTTATAATTTCCTAACCGTTGCAAGTGCGCTTTCAGATAATTGATTGGTTTAATGCAACGCCCAGAGGTTTACAAGATTTCACTGTACCACTTATACCATATATAACTTTGGCTATGGATAAGTCGTATTCGCCGTATAATCAGTTGAATACTAATTTGTAGGTTTTTGCTTTATTCAGTTAATGGCACCCATCGTATAATAAGCGTTGAAACAGTTGCTTCAGATTCTATTAATTTGCTTGTCATAACCACGTTTTCGATGATAAATCAAAGTATTGTAGGCTTTTCCTGCAATCGAAATTTAACATTTACTAATGCAAGTCGGACCCAATTCAAACTACACATTTTTACGTATTGAATGATTTCTCCTCCATAAACAGTATCATAATGATTATCATCAGTATTTTTTACACTGCCAATAACTGGTGAATTGAGGAATCCTTAGTTTAAGCCGTCGTTGACGATGGGGTAAAATATTATGAGGACTTTGAATTGATTACATTATTTTTTCTAGTTTTAAGGCCATTTTTATGCTGACATTGGTTTACAGTTTTACTTTAGCCTTCCAGACCCGGTATACAAAATGCAAACATTCAATATATATATTGAACAATGCAATAAATAAACCTGTATAGCTGATTTTCCAAGTGGTTGGCTTTCAATTATATATCCGTTCTCCCATGACATCCAAATTAGTTTTTTCTGATTTTCATGTTATTTATTTATAAACCGATAGCAAAATCTCGTTAACTTGTGTTGAGCTACTTGTGTTATTTGTAGATAATTGCACACTTATTAAAAACCTCTGTCACGAAACTCAACAATATGATTCTCATCAAATTAATTTGTGTTATATTTCATCTAATATTTGAGTAATCTCCACAAACATCCCGAAATGTTTTATTTTTTTAATTTGCCTTATCTATATAATGCAATAATAATATTAGCGACGCCATGGGGGTGTTAAATTGCCTGTAAAAATAGTGTATAATTCATAATTTCTCAGTCGACCACCATGGCAACTTTACGTGTGTTGTTGTGTATCGGAGTTTTATGTTTCGGATCAGATGTAGTTCTTTCTAATTCTGAGGAGGAACTTGGAGAAAGCTATCAATCGACTGAATTGCTTTTATGTGAATTTTGTGATCAGTTCTGTGATGAAAATCATGATCCAATCACTCATGTACCATTCACGATGCCCACATTGCCTGATGCCGTAGACCCTGAAATTTATCCCCAAAAATCGACCACACCCACACCGGTGAGTTTCTAATCAAATTTCAATTTACCTGTTTATTTTTTAAACTTGTTGATTTTACCAGATGTCGCCTTAAAGACTCAAAGGATAGAAGACAGAAGCATTGCATGAAAAATTCGCCTATTCAAAACCACTGTATATTCCCAAACAGTAAACAAATCACATAAAATCCGAAAAAAGAGCTTCAATCACTATGGCGAAAATTGACAAAAAAAATTCTTATGCTAGTATTATATGCAGAATATTTGGAAGATAATCATTTTTATATTAGAAAGGTGGAATGAAACAGGACGATACATTAAGTGAATGCAAACAAGCTTCTTTAATTTGAAATATTGCTGTACCTATTCAATAAAACTGAAAGTATTAGATAATTGTTAGTTTTTGAAATTATATCCAAAACCCATGAAATCCTTTAGTTAATAGCAAAAATTACTACTGGCTTTGGCTTTCATGAAAAAGTGCAAAATTTATATTCATAAAAATATCCAATATACTTTGCAATAATCCATACCAGTATCAAAGGCTTTACTGAAGAACACATCAAAAAAGAAGAAAAATAAAATTAGGCACTTGGTTGTTTATTATCGTACAAACGAATTTGTATACGTGTATATCGACGGTTAAGGGGAATAACCGGCTAACTCACAAAGCACATTTTGAGAGAAATAACTGACACACTATAAAATATATAAATAGTAAGTTGTTTTCGATATCAATCAACTACTTCTTTATAAGAAACCTCCGTTGACTGAAAGGAAAAGGCTTACTTTTGCGTCCGAAAGTATAAATTCTTTATTTCTCAGCTCAATCAGACCTAAATATGAATATTCACACAGAAAACAGTTCGAACTAACCATCATCGCTGAAGTTTAATCCTGTAGTGTTTTTTTTTTCATTTTCATGAATATTGCCACTTCGGAAAATTTAATGCATCTGCGACTTTCCGGAGTTAGATCAGAACAATTTCATTAAAAGCAACACTGGCAAACGCCTTTCGGCTATGTGCAATTTTCTTTTGACAATTCATGTATAACTTTTTCAAAGGCTACTTTTTTGTTCCCGCGATTTTTCAAATATTTTTTTTCGCTTTTGCAACCAAATTCTTATTTGTCAACATATACGATTTTAATCTGGAAGGTTTGTCTTGTTTCTCAGCTTCATATCGATTTCTTCTGTCCTTGAATAAATGTGTGTTTTGTGTTGAGTTAATTTTTTGTGCGTTTTGTATAAATCTTTCAACTTTTTCTTCCGTCTCCGTTTGATTTTTACGGTACCATTTTCTGTTTTGAAGTAACTAGAATAGTACTACATAATACTTTTGGTCCTTTTTTCGGTTTATTTAGTATGTTTATGAATCGAAAACATTTTGTTATATAGTAAATTAGGATAAAATTGAAAATTGCATTTCGAAAAATTATCTTCGGCACATATAAATTGCTCATTTTATTGAAAGGTAGTAATACAAAGAACTTGTTTACACACCTTTAATCCTAATTTCGTCTAATCTGTTTGTACTAAGCCATATGGTATTTACAGAATTAATATATTGAAGCATAAGTAATCAGTTTATCATTACATCATGGTATCAATACGACGAAATTGAAGGTAATCTATAGACGAGTAGGTAATGAGAACGTTTGAAAACGTTCCTTGGAAAAAAATAAGTTAAATACATTTTATTTAGTTGAAAATTATTGATTGAAATAATGTAACAAGAGTCTATGATATATAGTAAATTGCGAAAACTTTGATTTATTTACATTTTTTGAATACTTATTGTTTAAAAAAAATGTTTGAGAGTTCCGACAAAGGCCTTTAAATATTGTTTTATCGTTGTTCTTTACTTCCAGCAATGTTACCAGGAAATTACACAAGGCGATACAAATCAAACCATTACATGGCCTGATACGAATGAGGGAGACTATGCGGTATCTGAACCAATATGCTTGGATGACTCTCTGAGCATAGTAAAACGGCATTGCAGTGGTGAGTTAATAAAGGACTAAATCACATGTAGGCAATTGCTTGTTGGCTTTTTGCGACAACTTTTAAGTCACTATGTACCTAATTTTAAACAGTTCCTTAGACAAATTGATAAAATTGAAAATGTGTCTTAACCATGCAAATATCGCTTGTAAGTCTGCTTGGAAAACAGCGAAAAACCTTTCAAACACATATGATAAAGAACAGTTAATATGGCAGAATAAATGTTATGCATTGACTTAATTACATTAAAACATTGAATGAATTATCATTTCTATTATTTACTCCGCAGTGAAAATCATTGAACTGTCACCAAAGTTAAAACATCGGATTAAGCTTAAACTCAAGAGGGAATTTGAATTACTCGTTTGGGCCTACGCTTTGGAATAAATAACTTTGATATGCAAATTTGTTCTGAAGGACAATAAACACATTTTTCTCCTGATTTTATATGTATTAGAGATAATTTGCTTTTTGATTTTGTTAAGTAGGTGTGGGTTGATATTAGGAACAGGATCTTGAAGTCAGATATTGCAACTGAAAGAAAATGGTGTCTTGTGATTTACCAACTAACCAGAAGAATTTAAATTATGGTGTAATATGTTTGTGTATTATATTGGCAGTTGTTTTTTCCACGCGTGTAAAAAAGATACCGTAACTCACAGAAACACTCAAAGAACCATGCGTAGATATAAGAAAGATATGACTCCTATAATCGATTAAAATTATTTTAAAACTCGATTTATAGTTCTGAATCAATCAAATTAACCATTATTTGCATAAGTTACACAGTTTATTCTAATGAAGCTAATCTGCTTTAATGTGCTCACCCATATTCACTCTGGTAATGATGTATTAATCAAATAATACTTCTAATAAGTGAGACTTTTACTTTAGATAACTGGGATGATGTTCAGCCATGTTCAAGTGTTCAACAACCCATCGATCCTTGCCCTTCCGATCTCAAATCCATTGGCGACCGTTATTGTTACACTATATTAGATAAAACAACATTTCCTCCAAAATGTCCTTATCCAACATCAATGGACTGGGATGAATATGCCAATTTGAATATATTTCCAAAAAGACCGGTATGGATGCCAGTGCAGAGAATCGATACCAATATTTATGGAATTGGTACGTATAAAATAGAAGTTTTTAAAATTTTTTTTAAGAATAACAATCTAATTGAACTGCGATGAAATCAAGAATATGAAACACAATTTCAAAACATTTCAGCAGAATAAATAGAAACTTGTTGACTAATTTGAAGACTTGGACTTTGCTTCTTTTTTCATCCCACATTAATATAACATTAAAACAGTCACTTTTATTAAATTCATATATCCAGAATATTAGGGCAACATTCTTCAACAAGTACCTTAAACGCTTCAAGTATAAGATAATAATTCTAATAGATATATGATCATATAATCTGCCTTATGAAAGAGCAACATAGAAAATGATCAAATCTGTTTAACCCACATATTCACCAAAGCCAAAATCAACAGGATCTTAAAATACTTGCAATTGATCTGCTTTAAGTCTAACGGAAAATTAGTTTAACGAGCATCTTAAGTAAGGAGTGAGTATCGACCAACTAGTTATTATTCCGCTAAATTGAGAAGCCACAGCCATGAACATTAGATTAAACGAGTCACTAGTCAACCCTTCCACATGATGGATGTGGTAATGACGATGTAATTAACCGAGTAAAATTTAATACAGCTTTTTTGAAATAGTTTTTACCACAAATTTACATAGTAGTCTCAGTTACATGAAAATACGATGGTTGAGCTAACAGCAACACAGACAAAATTATTTACATTGAAAAAGCCAATTTTGGACAAAGTAAAATAATTAATAATAATAATCAAATAATCATTTGAGGAGCAATAAGAGCAATAGAATTGTTCGCACGTCGATTTTGACTCAAAGCATCGCACGCAGTTCCAGTTGTTTGGCATGCGAAGAGAGCAGACGTTTATTTAAAATATTAAAACAATTTATTGGGTCTGTACCTTCTTCGAGAAAATAATGATTTTGTGGGAGAACAGTTTCGTGTTTTCGTACACATTTAAATTCCACGAATTGTCTGTTAAATTAAAAAAAGTTTAATAATGCCGATGAGTTGAGTTTTATAGTTTATTGTTCTTAAACTTAAACTTCTTAATTTAAAACACAAGACGGAAGATATATTGCATTGCGATATTTAGCTCGAAATCAATTTAATTTTACTTCCAATGTATTTAAATTGCAGAATTTGATATGAAAATTAATCTAAAATGTAAAAGTGTTGGTCTCTGAGGTGCTTCTCTCATTTATTTGATATTCACGAAAATTTCTACCCACACCTTCATTATTTTGTATGTAGGTAGGGAGGTTTAATCAAGGGTACTTAGTAACACGTATCAATTTTAGATCTTTACCGTCACAACAATCCCGATTTCAAGTACAACGTACCATTTCAAATTTGTACGAAGAGTTGCCGCACCTTCTTCTATAATGGCACATTTCTTGATAAAAAATGCCAAGTATATCACAACAACACTCACGTAGAAGCAGTTGATTGTGATGCTGAATATCCCGCTATCTGTATTTATGATGCGTTAGCATATAAAGCCAGTAGCTATTGTGGACAGGTATATTTTGATTCAACTTTCATTACGACCTGTAAACAAGGAGGATATTCAAGCGAGTCTTTATGTTTATGTGAAAGTAAGTATTTTTGCGTTTGCAGACTAGTCATAATTAAGATTAGCATACAATTACTGTTAGTTTTGTTGATTAATAAGAGATCCTAAAGAGCTAAGTCGAACAGGCTTAAGTTAAGCAACTGTGCTTAAGCTTAGTGATAAGTGAAATCACAAAAATCGGTTCAAGTTTCATTATTTTTTTGATGATAATAACCCCATCGAATTCAGTGAATAAGATCAACAATTCTGGCATGCGCTTATATGATGAAACGTCCATCCGTTTTTTAATTAGGAGTTTCAGTTTAGCAGCTTATATTATCTGGTTTAGTGATCGGCAATGTCGGAGCACTTTCTTTTTTCTCAATGGAAACGAGTTGAATTGAACTGTTCAATAGTTTAAAGTAACATATCACGTTTTTCGGTTTTTTGTTCCAGCCACAGATATGACAGTGAGCAAGTCAGTCTTAGCAGAGTTCCTGCAGCCTCACCAAAATCTTCTGTTCGTCAACCATACCTGTCGAATAGGTCTTCGCAATACCAAAAATCAAACCGCCCTTAGCCCTTTTATGTGGACAACATCAAACTCAATTATTAATTACACTAACTGGGCACCTAAGGTTGATTTTAGTTTAGAAGTTGGTGTTATGACTAGTGAAGGATGGGCGTTTGCAGATGAGAGTCCAGAATGTACTATCTACCAAATACCCGCTACTGTAAAACCAGGAGAGTTAAATTTATTTATTGAAAATGCATCATTTGTTCTGAACATTACGAGCTACAAGAGCTTCTTGTCGAATAACAACAAAGATCCGATTGTGTACTGTTTCACCGATGCTGATGTAAAAAGTATTTATTACCGCCTAGCAGAATTCTCTGAAGCTGGTCCAGTCGATGGAGATAATTACACAATCAAATTCTCTCCAATTGATGTTGATCAGTCTGGGCCCGGATATTACTGGTGTCAAGCTTTTATGCACCCAAATCTATCAGTAGTGACGTCAAACAGGAAAAAAATCGATAATTTCACTGGAGAGTACGTGGCACTTTTCAGGCTAAACAATTACGAAGAGAAACTGTCTTCGTTTCCTTTGAAACCAGACAATTTAGAAACTCTTCAAAATCTTTTCGAAAACGAAATTTCCACCCACATTTCATTTTATCCCAGAATTTTTAAAATTAACGGTATTGATGAGCAGAAAAAAGAAATGAATATCACCTTCCATCTTACCTCCACAGAAGCGCGCAACACTAAAGATGAATTCAACATGTTAGAACGCATTTCGGTGGAACAGACCATATTTGAGTTTCTAGATTTTCGAACTGTTCACTACTGTCCACGTGTTAAAACACAGCATACCGGGCAAACAATTATTTGGCCTCAAACGATATTTGAGGAAAGCACATCACCCCTAAACGGGCATTGCGTAACAGAAAACGTTACTTTTGTTCAAAGAACATGCACAGGGAATTTCATTGATGGTGCGCATTGGTCAGATATTGAAGATGAATGCCATTTTTATTCGGAATCATTAGTAACTGACGACTTAATCAGATTGGCCGCTCAAATTAATCAAGAGGGAGATGAGCAGGTGGCTAGTGCTGCTTTAGCTGAACTGTACGAGATATCACAGAGATATGATGAGTTTAACACTTTGGATTTTGTTCTCACTGCGATTATTATGAAGAATATCGCTGGGAATAATCCAGATTTGAATAATGTATCAGGTAAGTTATATAGACATTTTTAGATACTATTTTAAGTATGATACTACGTGAGCTAAAATTGGTTTACTTCGAGAGTTGGAGGAAAATAAATATAAAATTAACTTTGCTTACTAAATTTCAATTTTTTTATTAGGTACTATTATAAAACTCACAAACCTGAAAAATTAAATTAAATTTCACGAAATATTTATTTCAGGGATTGTAAGTAATCTAATGCGAATAGCACGAGCTGTTCTCCTGAGTGCACAACTGAACTTCCGATCTACGGACATTTTATTAGAAGCTATCGATACAGCTTTAGAACGTGGTAATGCTGGAGAATGGAAGAAAGAAAATTTTGCAGCAAAAGTAATTGAAATTGAGAATGAAGAAGCTTTTGGACTACGTCTGCAAAACTGTAGCAGCAACTGCGACTGTGACCTCGTAACTCTTACTGACTCATCAATCCTTTATAATGCAAGTTTAATTTTGGCTGAAACGGTTGATGCTGCTATCTGCCTCTCAAGCGAGCTCTATGAGCAAATAGTCGAATACAGTAAATCAAACAGCAGTTATACTCCGAAACTTGTTATTTCTGTATATTACGGATCTCAACTTTTCGTGGAATTGCAAAATATAACATCCTCAGATTTGGTTTTTGGAGTGATGTTGCCTGAATTTCCCGAATCGTTTAAAGGACCTGTTTCGATATACTATTTTGCGAACAGCAAAGATCATTTGTCAGATTACAACTGCTCTTATTGGAAATTTAATAGCAATGCTTCAGGATCATGGTCCATCGAGGATACCCAAGAAATTAGTGACGCTGTTGTTTGTGAGTTTTATCATCTTACAAACTTTGGGTTTACATCCAACATAGACATAACTACCAATTTACCGATGTGTTTGCCGGAACATAAACAGCTTGATAGATGTTTTCCCGAAGACCAGTTCAGCAGCAATAACATCTGCAGATTAATTGACTTCGATCTTGCCCTAAACCAATTCTGCCTTTTGGAAAACCTGACTCTAATTCCTACCGAATGTTTCGACAGTTTTAATGAAACAGCAAATTTAGCTGAAATCCTACCAAATTGTACCAAGTATGAGTTAACAAAAGCATTGGAAAATCTCTTAGAACTGTTGGAGAATTTCAATACTGGCTCTTATGAACCTATTTTGGAGTTGCTTCTCACAGTAACAGATAGTTACAGCACTCTTAGTGACGTTGAATTACTGTTTGTGGTTTCTTTCATAAAAGCAATGAATGATAGTACGGTGGACGTCGAATTATTAACAGGTAAGAGCTTCCATGTTTCGTAATTTGATGATAAAAGTACATTGGACAAAAGTATAAAGTGAAATTTTAAGATATGTATCTTTAGTGTTTGTTCCAACCATATTCGCTTGACGAAAAAAAAAAAAATTAACTAATTGAGAAGCAAAACCATTAAATATTTGTTTAAATATTCTGCAAAAATAAAAAAGATAATTTATTTTGTATATGAATGTAATAATAATAAACAGAATTATTTTTGGATTTCCTAAAAACCTTTTTCCCTGTACTCGTCGCAGCTGTGTCTAATTTACCTGCAAAAATTTAAATTGTAGTATATATTTTTTATACGGACGTGCTTGTACGGCAGCTATAAAAGAACTCAATATATTAAACTCGTTTGCCATAAAAATAGCATTTTAAAAACAGCAAAACAACCAAAAGTTTTGGTACTTTGTGAGGTATTTGGATTTAAAGATTTCAATTGAATTTTTGCTTTTGTAGAGTGTTCTCTTTACCTACAGCTTTTTCAGCAAAAATTTAAGCCTTTTCCTTGGAACATGTTTTCAATCATCAATAAATTCCGCGGCAATTTGCGAACAATGATTTGCCAATTTAATGAAATAAAGTGATTTTGAATGATAAACATGTGTGCCTCTGTACTTTTGATAATATTTTATATATTTTATATATACATACATATATTCATTATGTATTGCAAAAGTGTAATTTTAATTGGTTTGCAGGGATTTTCCAAAAAATAGTTTTACATAATACCCATTACTTATCGATATCGAACTATTTTAACATTAATATTAATTTACCTACTATTAATATTTATATTACTAAATAATGTACTAATAATATTACTAAATGATATATTACAACGCAGTCAATTTGTTACGCGGTTATGTGCATATTTCCATGAACATTTTAATTAAATCTTTATTTATCCCTTTTTTATCCCATTTTCGACAATTCTTAGAGTGACTCTGTGATTGTTAGCTCTATAGAAAGTAGCAAAAGTGCTATGTGCTCATTTAAGGTCGAACATAAAATAGAAAATCTAAATGTGAAAATTTAATTTGTTGAAAAGTTTCTTGGAAAAGTCCTTAATATTCAATTTGCATTACATTGGTCATCTGAGTGAGGGTTGATCAATTTTTACTTAATTTTAGTTTGTTTTCTCGTAAGTTTGTTCTCTACTTTCTACCATTTTGAGCTATGTTTGACATGTTTAGTTCAGTGTTTTTGGGAATGTTTGCTTGTGTTTTGACGAGTACGTTTTCCCCTCTTTTTCTTTTTTTTCAGTTTGCACGATTGTTGTTTTTTAACTGACCTGATGATGTAGTTGTCGAAACTGCTTCGACATAACTAATAATTCAAGTTTTTTTTTATATACCTTTGAATTACATACACGCTTAACTTTTAAATCTTGTTTGATTGAAGAAAATTTGATTTTTTCTCGGCTTGCAACACGCCAGCCCCTATTTTCATTCTAGTTTTTGCTTTACCATTAAGCAGAAAGACTGAAATTTTCTCCAATAAATATTTTTCTCCTTATTCTAGGTATTGTGAACAACATTATGCATGTCCCGAAAGAAGTTCTTTATAGAGCCCAGAAAAGTTTCAAAATTGTAGACGTATTACTAAATAAAACAGAAGAAATTATAACGGCTGGAGATTGCGGAGAATGGATAACCGACAAGTTCGTGATCAAATGTTTAAACATTGATGAGTTACACAACATTGGCCTAATGCTCAAAAACTGTTCACAAGGCAACGAAGACATATTTGATTGTGATTTGCAAGTCGTTAATAGCACTGACAATTATAATGATTTGTCTTCTAATACCAATGGAATTTATGCAGTGGTTGTTTTATCTGAAACATTACATAAACAACTTCTTCGCTATCAACTGGAATTTGAATCAACTTACAAACCAAGATTGATCATTTGTATATATTATGGTGCGGAATTATTTGCAGATTTGTCGTTGTCTCTGCCAATACCCACTCTAGTTTTTGGAGTTCTCCTCCCTGATTTTAATGAAGAATTTGAAGGCCCGCTGCAAATATTCTATTCAAATGGTACAAGCTTGGCTGAATATAACTGTTCTTATTGGAGATTCAATGAAAGTGATCACGGAACGTGGGCTACGGAGTCTAGAGTGATTGGCAATGGAACTGCAATTTGTGAGTTTTTCCATCTCACAATATTTGCAATGCCCAGTCAATCAATAAGACTAACAGAATTAGTACCAAAATTTGAGTCATCAGAAAATTTGATAAATGCTGCTAGTATGTTGGTTGGATCTGCTGCCAGCAGTAATAATCTTGGAAATATAACGCCGGAAGAATATGTATCACTCGAGTTCAATTATGCCAATATATTTCTTTCCAGCGACATTAGCAAAGTATTTCAAATCCACAATAGCAAAGAATTTGAATATTTTCGCACCTCCCGAATAGCAACTAAAACCAACAAATTAGCAGTGGTCAATTTAAATTCAAAACTATTAGGTGATATAGTCGACTATCAAATTTCTCGATTTAGCCAGCCATCGCTAGCTAGCCCGAAATTTGCTGCGGATGTTTTGCTTGAAATTGATGAAGTGATAAAACTTCACCATCAATCCACTCAAATCAATAGAGAAAACGTATCCTTGATGATAGTTTCGCAAAACGATTTCATAAATTTTAGAGGATTTTTTATCACCACTGATCGGCAGATTAATTGCATACATAAAGAAAGTCATCATTACAGCAACTTTGATGAGGATGTTGAAGTAATAGTAACCCTCAATAAGGAGGTACGACGTCAAGTTGAGGCAGCAAGTTCCAGAGTAGTTTTTGTGATTTACTACACTGATATACTTTTTGCAGACACCAAAAAGATACCAAAACTTCCAATTATTGAGGTACTGATTCCCGGCTTACCTACCAACAAATTACAAGGTGATTTATCCATAACGTATATGAAAAATGCATTTCGGGGCAGTTGCACTTACTGGGCGTATACAAATAATCAAACAGGATACTGGGAAATGGAATCTGATTCCGAATTTGATGGAAAGAGAGCTACATGTAATTTTTCCCACATTACGCACTTTGCTTTAGTGGAAAGTTCACAAAATATTACTACTGATTTAGAACAAATATTTGCGTCGAATTTAACGGGTTTAGAAAAACTTAAGCAAGTTTACAGCATCACAACGACAAACCATCACAATCTGGTCCCAGTTGATATTTTCATCATATCACAAATCATCAACAATTCTTTAGTCGAAGGGCCGATCACAACAATAATTACAAAGATAGTTAGTAACTTATTTAAGGTTCCAAGAAGCGTTTTAAGGGAATCGCAGATACTCCATTCGGCAACAGATATTCTGCTCTATGCAATAGATAAAATGTCCTGTATGGTTAATAATGTTGAAATTCACCAACAGAACTTTTCGGTTATAGTTCAAAATCTGTATGACAGAAATTTTACCGGAATTTTGTTGTACGGTTGTGCACTCTATACATGTAGTCTCGACTATTTGTATGATTTTCCTAATATTAGCCAATTCGCTACGAATGATTCAATAGCAGCATTGATCATTTTTAGCGATAGCTTGCGGGAGCAAATTAGAAGCTACAGTTCTTACCCAAAAATAGCAATTTCCATATTCCACAGCGATGCATTTTTTAATGAAGAAAATAATCAGGCAAACACAACGAAGATATTCGGAGTCACATTCCCGGGACTAACAGATGACTTAAATGGTACAATTTCTGTAATCAACAACATTGGTACCACTTCAACAAGTGGAAGTAATCAATGCGCTTACTGGTACTACGATGCAAAACTTGATGGTAACACGGAAAATATAACGCTTGGAAAATGGATAACCGATGTCAATGAAGAGCGCAAAAATAAATTGTCCATTTGTAATTATACGCATATAACCCACTTTGGCATGCTGCTGGCCAATGATGACGATTTTATCGATGATCCAATTTTAGAATTTATAACAGATATTGGATGTATAGCGTCTCTATTTGGAATAATGGCAATTCTCTTAACAGGAGTGTTGTTTAAAAGGTGGCGTCAGAATACTGGCAATAAAATCCTTATAAACTTTTCCGTCGCAATATCGCTTAAGATTGTTACTTTGTATATCAGCGAATATGTGAAAAGCACTTCGAATGGAATTTACTGCACAATAACAGGCTGTCTGTTGCACTATGCCATTCTCTCTGAGTGTGCTTGGATGCTGACTGTAGCCATTCTACAATTTAAGAGATTTGTGGAAGTACTCGGAGGACCTCCAAAGTATGTGTTAGTAAAAGCATTAATCTGTGGATGGGTGTTTCCTATTATACCGGTTATTTGCGTTATTCTCATTGACAACAATAATTACGAGCAGGGATTAGCAGGCTTGTGTTACCCTTCCAACCTAGGCTTGTATTTAGGAGTTTGGCTACCTGTATTACTCGTATTGCTAATCAACTGTATTATTTTCCTTTTCATAATTTACAATGTATTTCATAGGAAAACTGAATACATTGAAACGTCCAGTGATGAAGTACTGTTTCAATGGCGTCTTGCTCTATCTTTGTTCTTTATGTTGGGGATGAATTGGACATTTGGATTCCTGGGCCAAATTAACGGTGATATCGCTTTCATATACCTTTTCTGTATAACAGCAACATTGCAAGGGCTTCTGTTGTTCCTAATTTTTATAGTTTTTAATAAGAGTACCAGAATGTTGTATTCGCAATCCATTAAGCAATGGTTTTATGCGAGAGGTATATTTAAAGTTTACCAGCAAAAGGCTCGAGAACATCACAAATAGGCTAACTTTAATGAAATATTGTATATTTTTGTAATCATTTATATGTTGTTTTACATTATTTGTAATAAATTCTTCAGAAGCAAGGATCAATATGCATTTATTTACAGTGAAAATAGATTGGTAGGTTTACCACCAAAATAATATTCCTCTTAAAGATAAAATTAGTATGACCAGAAAATTTTTACGAAACCCAACGAAGATAACTTCAATGTGTAACCAGCTTGATTACACTCATCCGTTTCAAAAATTTTATGAAATATCTTCAGACGGGAGTCTCGTAACACATTATTTGCCCAACCGTCATCTATTGTGCGTGCCCTGTTCAGCATTAATTCTATGTAGTAGTAGATTGTTTCTAAAAACTAATTAGATAATTAACTGCAATTACAAATATTCCCATGCTGCACAGTAATCGTCGAATACAATACAGCATTTTACAACTAGAGTTTGTTATTGCTGCCAAATGTGAATGCGCGCTTCAACAAATATGTTGCATAAAATGTTACAACTGAATTAGAGTAAACGCAACCATATATAATATATTCTTGTTTTGAAACAGCGACTTGACAAAAAATATGCTTACGAATACATTAACTTTGATTGCAGCGCGAGAGATTTAATGCAAGTTTAAGGCCCTAACAATAAAATCAATGAAAAACGCACAATACATTTATTTCTTTTACCAAAAGAAATTGCATTTAATTGACAGTTTCCACAGAGTGTTTTTAAATGCTAACTAAAATGGCCATTTGGCAAGCAGCATTTCTATATAAGAAAACAATGAATAGTGCATTTGTTCATCCTGACGAAGGATCAGTGTTGCAAAATCATTGCTTTAAACAAATATTTACTTTGTTTAAAAAGTAAAAGTTGTTTGTTCGAAGTAATGAAGACCGAACTTCGCAATGATGATGGGATAAATACTTAGCAATATTATATAAGATGTATGTATAGCATTAGGCACAATTTTTCATAAATTTGGTTTTGGGTCGGGTGCAAGCAAATAGAAGTAGATTAAATATTCAAAACGGATAATATGGAACGCGCCTAGGCAAAGTAAATGTTAAAGAGAGTATTTTGTTTTTACACCGTAGAAAAAAAATAAAACTGCTAAAATAGCGCTAATCAGAATAAGTGATAAAGTTCTTAGAAAAATAACACACGTAAATGAATATAGAGGGAAACATTTTTCCCAACTTTAAAAAAATCGTAATTATATGCTTTCTTCAAATCGCTTTTAGAACAACAAAATGATAGGAGATAAATTACGTACTAAAAATGAACAAATTGGCTGACAAAATCGTTCGTAAGCGGTTTTTAGTTATAATACTGCCCATTTTATTTGCTGAAAATAAGAGGTTCATACAACGAAACTTTACTATGAAGGAGTGTGATAATATAACCATTTAAATCTAAAGCTACTTTTATCTGTAAAGGTCAGGATGCTTTCTTAAAAAGGGCACAGTGATTCTAAGTGCGATATTCAATAAGTTTTACCATAATAAATACTCTAATATTATACGGTGAGATTCGAGTAGTTTGAAATAAATTAATTTAAAGTTCAGGGTTGTGTTGTTTGGAAGAGCACCCAAACACCTCCATTTGTATTTTAGGCTATGGAATTTGCTGATATTACAGATAATGTATGCAGGAGGCCTTCATACGTTTAAAGCATCAACTTGAGTGTCTAAAGCACCTATTTTGTATTTAATTTTTTTTAAATATAATTCTGTACATAATAAGAACATATGGAAAAGGAAGCGGATGATACTAATTTATTTTTGGACCATCCTGCATCATCACAGGAAAGTCACTAGAAACTCAAATCGTCGTGTGCGAGAATTTTTGTAAGGGGGTTCTCCCTGCCCTCCTTGAAATTATTTGAACCCAATTAAACTACACTAGCAGGTTTTTTTCAAACTGTGGGATTTTGTAATTACTCAGTATTTATTTGTCTTATAATGTTTCTTAAACGATAATTCATGGGTGAAAAAAAGGGCGACATGGGGTTAGTTAGGTAAATACTTAAACGAACATGAGTCTGTTCAATAAAATGCAATATTGTTGGCACATTTTCTGACTGCTCTTAAGGAAATGTCAATAGTGTTTATATAGTATATAATAATATTAGAATTACATAACACGGTTGATCTTGAGTAGGCGAAGTATTATATAGGTGTGCTAAATTTAAAATCATTGAGCGCAAGTTTCTCTCAAAACTTATGTTTGCTATAGGATATTTAATTATTATGGTTAAACATATAATGTATCATAACTTCGCGCCAGATTTCCAATCAGATGTAAATAAATAGCTTCAGCGAAACTTGATGAGTAAACCAGAATTTTATTTCAATACTAATAAGTAAATTTAAAAATGATATTTTTTTTAATTTATGAATATTAGTGTTTATTTTGTTATATTTATTGAGCAACGAGATGTTTCTATATTTGTGTTGTTCCATTAGCAAAAATGTGACTTTAGAATATTTCTATATCTATTAAAGTCCCTGCAAAAGAACCATAATAATTACGGTAATTCTTCATATATTGAAGCAATGCATGTAAAAATTGGGTATATTTTTACTTGTTACTAGTAAACTCTCGAATTTAAGTCAATAGATCCTCTCTGGCAGATTGGTTTAGTCTCGTTAGTTGGTCCTACTTAACAGTGTTTCTAAAGAATATCTCCTTATTTCAATATGTTGTTTCCGAAGTTTCTGCTTCTTATCGTAATTATACTTATTCAAAATTAATTTTTTTTTTAAATTACTACTAGTTGGCAAGCTTGGATTTAGTTGATGAACAAGTGCAATTTATTTGAGAGAAGGTATACGGTTTTATTATGAAAAGTTTTCTCAACTTCTTATATTTGTATATTTTCTACTACTATCATACTTTTAAAATATACGGGCGCTACAAAGCAGCTTCTTGAGTAATTTCTAAATTGTCCAAATAAATAAAATAAAAAATGACGTGCTTTAGAGGTATCTATCTACATGCAGCGGTTTAACATAACCAATTTTTGCTGGAAACACTTTTATAGCAAAAATGTAACTGGCTAAAAGTTGCTATGTCGAATAAGCAGATAAATTAATTTGCATTATTACTGAAATATTGCATATTTAAATTTTTATTTAAAATAGGAGGTAAATTTTTCTTTACTGAAGAAGCAAATTGTTCGCAAGAAGAAGAAGAAGAACGAACCACGAGCCCAATCAAGCATTTGGAAATATAGTTAAAGAAAATGTTTACACTTGTTAAAGTTATAATCGATTATAAGCCAAGAATTGGTGTATGGCTTTTGAAGCAACACGACGATCAAATCTTTTAAATTCGGTTCATCATTCTACTTTTGAACAGTTTTAGTTAATTAATTATGCCTGCAACATGTGAAAAAACACGGTTAGGCCATTAATTATTGCAAGGCTAAATTGTTGATGAGTGCTTAGCTTAATTTGAACTAAGCTAGTTAGTCAAAATATCCTTCGAAAAATTGAAAGTTTAGCTTAATTATTACCATTATCCTAGATGTTTACACAACCAGAGGTAAAGTAAATTTGTTTTCACGTATTTACGAAAACAGACAAAATCTGAATGGTAAATCAAATAGCACATTTCTCTTGCTCGATTTCAATGTGATGTTCATTATCAACATGTGAACCACTGGCCCCATTTGGATTCAATAGTAGTTGTATTTGCACTTTCGACATTCTCTTCGAATTAGATCTATTAGTGTTTCAAATATTATATAATAATTGCAACTATTTTCCTGGGTCTGTGGCATATTTTCATTAATTTTATTTAACGTTAGGATTCTTTTGGATGTGGATAATTTAACAGTTGAATGAGGTTTCCTAGTTGTCATTCAAAGTGTTACGATAAATCATTAACGTTTGAGTATTTGCAACATGCTATAGTGAGATCTGGAACAGACAATACATATTTAACAATAATTTTCTCGTTTTAATCTGATCTTTAATATTTGGAGTTTAGTTTTGAGCCGGTTTCATGTTGTTGCTTGGTAATAGGAATAAAGAGGGAATAATAGTTTTATTGCCTTAAAAATTATGCGAAGAGTTCCTTTCAGTTCAAAAACTGTTTTATTTATTAAATATAAAAGAACGTTTTGAATATAATACAGTAAAATACATGACTGGTTACTTAAAATACATTTTTGGAAATCATTGCTACCTACTTTCCTCATAATTGTGTGTGCAAAAAAAGTAGCAACTTACTAAACTTTTTCACCCTCAATTTTCAATGGTTTTCAGTTTTCTCATTTCATGCTTTCACATGCAATCCTTCACAGTCGAAATATGTGGAAAAATTTCAAGTTAAACCTTGCGAAACGCTACGTTATGGGGAGAAAGATACATTTTTAGCAGTCGAGCACAATATATATGAACCAGGGACACTAAATTTGAAAGTGGCATTATAGAAGTGATGTGCTTCTATTTTTGCGCAGTTTATCTGTGATTATAAAAGGAATATCTGTTATGCTTGTGAAATTTTATTGTTTTATCTTCCAAATGTCTCATATTATTGGAGTTAATGGGTTCTGCATAATTTAGCTACAACTAATCGCAAAAGAGAAATGGCCCAGACAATATATTCCCAGGATTAGTAGTTTTGAATAATGTTTAATAGGTGAAGATCGTTATGCAAGAAGACTATGTCCTAACATGTGAAACCGTCCTGAAAAACCAGAAGAAAGTTGAAAGTTTTTAAGAGAGTTTTAAACAAGTTTACGCCCTCACTACCAACAACGTACACAACTTTTACCTTAATTAATTTTTGCTTAAAATCAAATAATTAAAGCAACAAAATTCAAATAGTATTAAAATAATGATATTAATCAATGCAACAACAATTAAATACTTCCTCGTAATTAAATGCAGATTTTTAAGTTTTACTGATGATAATGTATACTTATATAAATTGGAGTCAGTCCGGATGGGCAGAGACAATGAAACAGTGTCCCGTGAAGTGAACAGAGAATGTTCATGAATGAAAGTACGATTTTTATAAAAGTTGAGTCGCGT